GGTAACCACTGTCTCTATATGTAGGTAGTCACAGTCCCTGTATGAAGGTTACCGCTGTCTTGATATGGAGGTTACCGCTGTCTTGATATGGAGGTTACCACTGTCTATATATGGAGGTAACCACTGTCTCTATATGGATGTTACCACTGTCTATATATGGAGGTAACCACTGTATCTATATTGTGGTAACCACTGTCTCTATATGGAGGTAACAAATGTCTCTTTATGGCGGTCACTACTGTATCTATGTGGAGGTAACCATTGCATCTGTATGGAGGGCACTAGTGTCTTTATATGGAGGTTATCACTGTATTGATATGGAGGTAGCCATTGTCTCTATATGGAGGTTACTACTGTCTCTATTTTGATTTAACCACTTTCTTTGTATGTAGGTAACCACTGTTCCTATATGTAAGTAACCACTATCTATATATGGAGGTAACCATTATCTCTATATGTAGGTAACCACTGTTCCTATATGTATGTAACCACTGTCTCTATATGCAGGTAACCATTGTCTCTGTAAAGAGGTCACTGCTGTCTTTATATGGAGGTAACCATTCTCTATATATGGACGTAACGACTGTCTATATATGGAGGTAACCACTGTATCTATATTGTGGTAACCACTTTCTCTAAATGGAGGTAACCATTGTCTCTATATGGAAGTTACCACTGTCTCTATTTGGATGTATCCACTGTCTCTGTAAAGAGGTTACTGCTGTCTTTATATGGAGGTAACCACTCTCTATATATGGAGGTTACCACTGTCTATATATGGAGGTAACCACAATCTCTGTATTGAGGTTACCGCTGTTTTGATATGGAGGTTACCACAGTCTCTATATGGAGGTAGCTACTGTCTCTATATGGAGGTCACTACTGTCGCTATATGGAGGTAAACAATGTCTCTATATGGCGGTCACTACTGTATATATGTGGAGGTAACCAATGCATCTATATGGAGGTCACTAGTGTCTCTATATGAAGGTAATCACTGTATCTATGTGGAGGTAATCACTGTATATATATGGAGGTGACCATTGTCTCTATATGGAAGTTACCACTGTCTCTATTTGGATGTATCCACTGTCTATGTATGTAGGTATTCACTGTTCCTATATGGAGGTTACCACTGTCTCTATATGGAGGTAACCACTGTTTATATGGTGATAACCACTCTATCTATATGTAGGTAACCACTGTTTCTATATGGAGGTAACCACTATCTCTATATGGAGGTAACCACTGTATATATGGAGGTAACCACGATCTCTATATGGAGGTAACCACTGTCTCTATATGGAGGTAACCATCGTCTCTATATGGAGGTTATCATTGTCTCTATTTGGATGTAACCACTGTATATGTATGTAGGTAACCACTGTCTCTATGTATAGGTAACCACTGTATATATGGAGGTAACCACTGTCTCTATATGGAGGTAACCACTGCCTCTAAATGAAGGTAGCCACTGTTTCTATATGGAGGTACCCACTATCTCTATATAGTGGTAATCACTATGCACTGTCTTTGCTTTTTTATAAGCGCCTAGCAATTTCCTTTACTTTTCAGATGACTGGCCATGTTTCTGTCACTTTTAAATGACGTTCACTTTACTGATTTAAATGTATACAATTGCAGAATAGTACGATTGGTGTTATTTCCTCAGCATGTGTCAAAATAACTCCATGATATGCATGTGATCTGAGGAAAACTACATTACATTTTCAAAGTATGTTATTATCGGTGTATTCTCCATTTTGATCAAAACTGAAAAATAAAATATGTGTGACTATGTCTCTTTAACAAATCCAAAAATGTAAAAAAAAAATAAAAAAAATCGAAAATACACAAGCTGAATAAAATTTCTTATGACAACCATCCTTGGTGACCTAGATATTCATGTCACCTGTACAAATTATAGCCCAGTCCTGAGACGACTGATTTAATGTTACGCATTTTGTTGCGGGGGATTACAGCGAAATCATATACGTCCGTTTAAACCAAGTCATCAACGTGAATAGAAACTTGTCTGTGCATCGCTGGCTCCTTCATAAAAAGTAACATAAAACTCTAAAGCATCAAACGATTTATTAGAAAAGTGTTCTTTATGAGGGATGATGGCTGCAAAGTCATTCATTATACAGCCATATCCACTGAATCAACATACATACGTGTGATTTATCCCTGCTATTAGTCTTCTCTGATAAAATCATAAAATTAATTATGTGGACAAATAGTAATATATCATTTACTGTTCCAGTGAAGTGTTTTTTGATAGAGATAATATTGTCTGATATAGTTGTTTCAGAGAGCGACCGAGAAGCCACTACAAAACTATGCAGATGATAAAATATCTTTATTTAATTAGGATTAATAACCTTTTAATGTAACTCTTCATCAAGTAAAATCAATTAATTACATGATGAGTCACATTTCCTACTATTTTAAGTTTGTGATTATTGGTACTTTGATTTCAATATTTACACAGGCAACGATAAAAACATTTAAATGTTCTGTCTTACATGCAATTCACTTGGTACTAGTCAGTTAGATTAAGAATGTCAGCGATCAAGTCATTGATATCAAGGTGAGTTGATTGCAAAAATATAAATATATATATATATATCTTAATGAAATAACATTTTACGTAACAACCCTTGAATGTCATCACAACCCATACAGCCGAGGAATCTCTCCATCGCTAAGTGGTTATAAATGAAACCTTGGCCAAAAGCATACATCAGATATTTGAATTTATTAATATCAATAGAGCCGCACTAGGGCTCTTAGCATAAAATCAATAATATATGGAAAATTATATGAAAAATTGAATAACCCTAGTAGCTGCCACCACACACGCATGGCAAAGGGTGGGAAGGTGGGTTTACAAATTAATTATACTGAGAGCTTGATGAGCGTACAAATACAGTGGCTGCCTAATACGGGGATATGTCCCAAAGTGAGAAAGCATCACCTTTGACCCCTTGACCAATCAGTGACCAGCCTCAGAAACCCTGTCGCTGTCAACGCTGTCATCGGCAGCCAATCATTGAACCGTTTATTGTTCAAACAACTCAAGCTCCAAAATTTGAATTAAAATAACAGTAAATCTACAAAACTTGTTATGACGTTACGAGCATAAATTAAGCTAATTGCTTAGCTGCCTTTAGGACGCTAACAAATCTTCTGAGTGGAATATGGGCATATTTTGAATAGCAAAAGGTTGAATGTAACATATGTTTGATTCTAGTATTCCATGGATATCTATCAAAGAGCAATAAAAACGCTGCGCAACAGGGCATTTTAGCTACTAAACCTAGAGTACTGTTTACCGGGAAATGTTCGCCCAATTACAATTTTGACCTTAGCCTATGAAATCGATCAATTTTCGCCCAGTGTTGATTTCGCCCTTCACATTTGATTACTATGTGTATTATGCAGATCACTTCAATTCGCTGTTATGATAAAATCGCCTTCACATTGTTCAAACAGCACTCTCTCGGTCCTCTTTCGTCAGTTTCGGTTTTTCTTAACTTTCTTTTATAATAAAACCTTTATGATTTTATAGATGATACAACTTCTTAGACTAACTACGGATGGGTTTTATTTCATATTCTATCGAGTAGTACTTCAAAACAGTGAGCTTCATGCCTGACTGAATTAAACAGAACTCTCCTCCTTAAAACGCTATCTTACAAACAATGGTTTACAGATGGACTACAGGGAGGCAAATGTATGTTTCTTTTTTCTTTTTGTGACCTATTTATACATAAACAATTAATGACTCGTTTGCATTCACAATTAATGGTTTAGCGATTTTTCATGATTGGTTTCAGTCAAAAGTTATTGATTGTCTCCCATTAATTTTGTATGCTGCCTATCTACCGCAGTAGAGTGTGTACCAAATCCCCTTTGAGTTGGAGAAAGGATATATATATAACTTCATAGTGACGCATATATATTTCGTTAATTATTACCGCTCTGTGCAGCTACTGTGATAAAGTCCGTGGGTTTCATTCTAATTCAGTGTAGATATACCTGGTAATAAATATTTGATATATTGGATGTCAAATAATCAATACAATTCCCTAACAATTAGGTACTTCATGCTAGAATGACGGGATGATTTAATAAAATGGACGACCCTATAAGCAAATATTTATATTCTAATGTCAATAAGGGAATCCGTATCTAAATTACATAAAGCACTAAAGTATTTCACAAATATTACTGAATATGATATTGATTTATAGTCGAAAATTATTTCCCGCTCATCACTTTATAAGGAATAGTGTTTTCAGATGTTAGAACATTCATATATTGTCATTATATGAGAAGATTTGGGGTGTATAATTGTAGTTCAATCTTGTCAAGCTTACCGAGCTTTAGGATGAACATATCACGTGACACTTAAATCGATATTCTGCATTCTATGTGAGTGATAGGAATATTGATTCCGAGCTGTTAGTTACGATTATTTGTTATTCCTGTCTTCATGAACAATGCACAGTAATTATATTCACAGTTGGATTAATTCTTCATTAACGAAAACCGGTTTAAGATTGCTTTATGATAGCCATGGTGATATGAGCAAGGCGACGGACGTACACGTAGTATATGTAGGAATGACGATATTGTGAAGTGAAAATTGGACTCGAACAAATGTAGTGCTACATTTTAATGTGTTATGTAACACGTTTATATGGGAAATTGACATCACCACGGCATTGAAGACACTTGTTTGTAGTTGATCTAGTTTCATTCATTAATCGTTGGATTTAAATGCCTAACAATCAAACGGATGTGTATTTAAATACTTCAATCAGGCGCCTACCTATTCTTTGGATCCAAAAAACAATGGTTTATCATAGAAATGGTATAGCATTAAGGACTGTTTAATATTGAATTAAAACAATTAATGTCTTTCATGCTAACGATACGTTTTGAAGAACCAGATTCGAATGTCTGACAACGCTTTGTTAAAACTAATTCGAAATAAGATATGGTCTTTGTATGATTAAAGCTGACTGAAAATTACAGATTACTTATCACGCATTAATTAGCGTGTAAAAGTAACTGTATTTTATCTTTGATTTTGTTACAAGTTTTCCAAAATGGATGTGCTTGAGAAAGTTCATAAATCGCAAATTATGCTTATATGGAGTTTAGGAATAATGACATTTTATGGTAAGTATTTTTTTAATTTTGTTTTTATTGAGGAAAACCGAAAAATAAATTTGATTCTTCTTGATTATAATGTCGTATTGGTTTTATAACCGGCCCATGCATGTCATCACTGTCTTGAAGTTAACTATTCTTACTTAATAACGACAAATAACGATATGTTAACTTGCTAATATACTGATATATATTGCATACAATGCGTCTGAGGGTTGCTTTTTCGTTCTTGGTATACTGGTCATTGTCTTACAATACATAGCTATGTAGAATTTGAAGACATTGGATTGACTTCAAATTTTCATTTCTGTGATAGAGAAATGTATTTTTTTAAAGATTATAGGTCCCTTAATCTGTTTACGCTGATGACGTTGCTAAAAGCATCTATGTATTTTTTTAATTCTTTGTATCACTTAGTATCTTGTAAACAAATATACCTGTTGTTGCTTGAGTTGAAACATAAGAGTTCGTGTGTTGTGTGTGGCATATGGAACAGTAATACATTGCTCACATACGCATCAGGTATTTTAATAGAGTGTTCGCCACTTAAGATAACCGCCAACAAATGTCAATAAAAACTACAATAGTTCGCTTCTTTTTTTAAGTATTTCCGTAATAAATACGCTGCTTTATGTGCTTTTTAAGACATTTTACCTGAAAAGAATTTTAAACTGGTTACCGTGTTCCTTTCAATGTTATATACCTCCACTGCCAGTGGCGTAGCAAATCATTTGTCGGAGTGTCTGCTTACAGAGGGTCGAGCGTCCGAGGTGCGTAGCGCCTGAGGAGGGCGGGGTATGGGAGGGCGGGGTATGGGAGGGCGGGGTAGGGGAGGGACCATAGCAATCTACCGTGTTCTGTGAACTCCTTTTAGACTGAGTATTAACATGTAAAACCCGACTTTCTATATGAATAATTTCAAATTTTGTACTTCACTAACTCGTTTGTGATAAATGTATATCTCCGAGACCTGTCAATGTGTATAGACATAACATAACAACACTTTTTTATCAGACTAAAATTTTCAAGAAGATTCTTTTTATGATACGGACGGTCCATATTAATCATAAAAAAGGAATGAATAATTTGGTTTTGGTTTGGTTTAATTTCGTTTAACGTCCTATTAACAGCTAAAGTCATCAAAGGCAGTGCCTCCATGTGTGTAGTGTATGCGTGCATGCGTGTGTGTATGCAGAAGTCAAGGTATGTCGGTGTTCATACCCCCTTGTGATAGTGCGGATCTGATGCCGACTTTATAGTGCTATCTCACTGAAATCCCATGCCGAAGGCACCCAACACAGCATGCCGCCCGGTCACATTATACTGACAACGGGTAAACCAGTTGTTGTCATGACCCTAAATGCTGAACGTTAAGCAGGGAATAACAACAAGTTTTAAGGACTTTGGTATAGCCCGGCTTGAGGACAGAATTCATTGCCTTCCTCACCTTGGCGAACGAACGCTCAACATTACGGCCAAAAGTGAGGTGGTGCCAAGCAAGGCGCTAGGAAATGAAAGGAAGTTAGAAGTAGAAAAGAAGATAAAGATCCCAAATATTGCAATGGGTCCAGCAGATTTATTTTGATCGCGTGGTGTCTCCAAAATGAGGACACCAAAGCAAAAACCCAATTATGCAGGGGGTTACCGTATTATTCGCCTCCTACGATACATGCAATGGGTAACAGCAGATGCATTCTCTTCTCGGTTCCCCACCTGCAAATTAATAGAAATATTTGATTTAAAAAAATCTTGAAAATGTTAGTATATCATAAAGCACCTATTGTTCAGGGAACCATTTTGGGACATTTTTGGCAATGTTAGAGGAACTTCCATTACCAAAATTATAATACATTATCAATGTAACTTATACAAAGGAACCATATACACCTGGTCTGGAGTATCCTTACATAGATACTTTGTCAAAGTATAGCCTTTTATTATGCCGAATTACGATTCCTTTGAGGAAAACTTACAACTCTGTTTCAGGGAGTCCCGCTTGCTGTTTCAACGTATCGGATGGAAGTGCATTACACACATACCTACTGAATGGCTATAATCGGTTTGTCCGACCGTCCAGCACTGTTGACGTAGGACTAGAATTTCACCTCCTGACAATCAACCAACTGGTATGTGTTATTTCAAATGAAAATTATAATAGTTAAATGACATAGTTATATATGTACATTTATGTTACGTTGCAGTGCAGATAACAATACAGACTCAAAATGTTTGCATGATTCAATAAAAGCAAGTGTGTAGTAATATTAACAGTACTACATCTACCGTAAATTGATCTCTGATGTGTACTTTCTTCCTCATTTTTTCCATAGATTATCTGGGTCCGATACAGTTTAGACATGTTTAGACATTACCAAACACCAAACTATAGACTCCTGCCAATAACATGTTCAATTAAGGACAGACATATATTATTCCATCGACAAAATCACAGTTTTAGGTCGACAAGGCAAGTCAATAAAAAATCGAAAAAACACAACAAAAGAAAAGAGGCGAAAACAGATTTTCCTGATCGCTTCTTTCACCAAGACGATCAAAGTTGGACTCCTCGATCAGATGCAAAAGATATTGTGTCATCTGCCTGACGCAGGGAAGTCTGGTTTTCCAAAACTGATACCACACGCGATCTACCATTCATGGCATCAACAGTTATTAATATACGACAAAATAGTTTTATAATTATTAAAGTTATGGTGCTGTCACATAAATTAAGGTTCAGCGGCAGTTTTTGTTGAATACTGTTTGTATCAACCATACATTCAAATATGTTTCTTACGTTATAATAGAAAGGCCTATACAGCACGCTTCAGTAACAAAGTGTTTTAAGTATGTATATAGATGTTTACAGATATAATAGAGTACTGTCTACTTATAATCGTATTGATAATAAGTTGAACAACGTTAGACTTAGGCATACAACATGACTGGAAAGTGCAAATTAAAATGATTAATGAAGAACACGAAAACAAACAATTATATAGCTTAGCGTGCATAAATAGAAACTCGACAGCTTCTTGAATCAACCATAAGCGTATGGCAAACAAATCAATAATTCTTGTATTGACTGTAACTACATGTATACACAGGGGTTTATGTCCTCTTGATTCGTATCCTCTCCGGTTCAAAGAGAAAATTAAAGTTTACATGCACTCTCGTAATTATATTTACCAAGTCTAGACTCATTATTGGAATAATAATTAAAAATAATAATTTCAGACCATTTTTAACTTGCATATATATGATAACTCAAGTACACCAATCACCCTCAACAAAAACTATATTAAGATTAAAGGCAACGGCTGTTGCTAAATCGTATAGATGTAATGAGGTACTCTTTATGATTATGCACTCAAACCTCGCCTGTCTGTCTCCCCGGCTAGTGTGGCCTGCTAATGAAAAGATGGATTACAAATATATCATAGATAAAATAAAAAAATTGTTAAGGAAACTTACACAGATTATAATTTCGCGATAAAGACATTTTAAGAAACTACATTGCACGGTGTGTTAGCACAGAGACGCGACAGTCGGCATTTAAAGTGTCAAATAGACAAATAAAGGAGAAAACTAGGTCAGACACCAGGGTCTCAGTTTCAGTTAACTCACCTGTCCTGTACACTAAATAAAGCATAGTTATCTTCATGTGGAAGTTGTGTCTTTTTAATTGAGTTATTGAAATGCCTATCATTTCTTACAATAAATGCCTATCATTTCTTACAATAAATGCCTATCATTTCTTACAAACACTCTTTGTATGTACAGTATCTGTCCATCTACAACTGATAAATAACTTACAGGTGACCAAACGTATTGTGTAGATTTGCATAATTTGACATTTAATTAAATTTATTAAGCTTACAGGTTTCACGTCAATATGAATTACTGTTTTCTTGTCAACTGCGGGGGGGGGGTACCAGAGGGAAAATGGGGTTCCCCATGGGACATTTATACCAAGTACGCATGCGCTAACCCCTATAGGATTTTTTCCGAGCTCCCCAAACTGTCTAATACATATGTATAGGCTTAATAACACCATACATCGCGATAACAAGGTGTACATTATGTTTATTGTTTAGCAAATGATATAACCTATTTTCATCATCTTCAAACATCCTTACTCTTTATGTATATGAATCATCATAACAAAGTGGGCGTTATTTAATGACAACATTATGGTTATGAAGTTTATTATCACAGCTCATTTTTACGCTTGCCTTATTATTATGCAGATCATATTTTCTCGATAACGTTATTAACCAGCGAAATCCGAGAGGTATCATTCCTGCGGACATATCCTGCCATAAGATAACACGAAATACACAACATATTCGCATTATATCTGAATAATAAGTACTACAGATTTATGGAAAAACACGAAATTTTCCAATTGTGTCTGTAGAAAAAGTAACCGTAAAATCAGTGGTAATTTAGGTGAACAAAGTGACACGGAATATTTCCAGTCTACCTGCAAAATAAGTATTCACATTCGGCATAAGGAAAAATATAAAATATTCCGATTATACCTGCTGAAAAGCATTAGATAGAATGTATGAAAACACACTAAATGATGGGATTATATCAGTATAATTAGCTATAAAAGTATTGTCTATGTAAAAGGTGGTATACTTTTTAATAAGTTATGAACGACATTTTGATTACTACAATGATTCTGAAGAATTAATAGTGCATAAACTGTTTTAAAATATATAAAATGTTCGGATCACTACAATAAAAATATATAGAACCCGTCAATCAGATGTTATAAAAGATATGAAGTATTCTGATATTTAGAGTTAAGTGAATTAAATGTTTGAAGAGAAATTAATAATTCGGATCACTTCAATTATATATATAATAATCAGTAAATTAGATGTTGGAAGAGATAAATTGTATGAAGAATTCGAATCCCTACGATTATATATGTAGAACTAAGTGAATTAGATGCTTGAAGAGAAATCAATAAATCGGATCACTACAATTATATATATACTAATCAGTAAATTAGATGTTGGAAGAGATAAAGTGTATGAAGAATTCAGAACACGACAATTATATATGTATAATTGAGTGAATTAGATGTTTAAAGAAAAATTACTAATTCGGATTGCTTCAATTATTTATATCCTAATCAGTAAATTAGATGCTGGAAGAGATAAATTGTATGAAGAATTCGAATCACTACGATTATATATGTAGAATTAAGTGAATTAGATGTTTGACGAGAAATGAATAATTCGGATCACTACAATTATATATATACTAATCAGTAAATTAGATGCTGGAAGAGATAAATTGTATGAAGAATTCGAATCACTACGATTATTTATGTAGAATTAAGTGAATTAGATGTTTGACGAGAAAGGAATAATTCGGATCACTACAATCATATATCTAGAATTAGGTGAATTTAATGTTTGAAGAGAAATGAATAAATCAGATCACCTCAACTCTATATGAAGAACTAAGTGAATTAGATGCTTGAAGAGAAATGAATAAATCATATTTTTACAATTATATGTGTAGAATTAAGTGAATTAGATGTTTAAAGTGAAATTAATAAATCGGATCACCTCAACTATATATATACTAATCAGTAAATTAGCTGTTGGAAGAGATACATTGTATGAAGAATTCGAATCACTACGATTATATATGTAGAATTAAGTGAATTAGATGTTTAAAGAGAAATTAATAAATCGAATCACTTCAATTATTTATATCCTAATCAGTAAATTAGATGTTGGAAGAAATACATTGTATGAAGAATTCAGAACACTACAATTATATATGTAGAATGAGGTGAATTTAACGTTTGACAATAAATGAATCAATCGGATCACTACAATTATATATGAAGAATTCGTAAATGATATGTTTGATAAGAAATGAAATATTCGGATCACTAAAATTATAAAATAGTATCAATAAGTAGGATGTTTTAAGAGATATGGGATATTTTTATCATGTAGAATTAGTAACATAGATGTTTGAATAGAAAATTTCGAATCACCACAATTACGTATTTTCAATGAGTAAATAAGATGGTTTAAAAGATATGAAATATTCGGTTCATTGCAATTGAATGCGTAGAATAAATCAAATTGTAGTTTGGAAGGATATGAAGTATTTAAAACACTACCATTATATATGTATAATTAGTAAATTGCACGTAGCTATTCGAAGAGATTTTAAGTATTCGAATACATTGAACACGATTCGTAGAATTAAGTAGATTAGATGTTTGAAGAGAAATCAGTTATTCGGATCACTACATTTATATATAAAGAATCAGTAAATTAACTTCTAATAAGATTCATCAGTTTTGAGATATGTGATATGTAAAGTGTTCCTTCTACACAACCAATGTGCGTATTAAACGTATCGCAACACGTCACGACCGACTGGTCCCTTTATCAAGCTATTACTGAGTATGCACTCACTGACATTGTCAGTCATAGCTCGACAAAGGGACCAATCGGTCGAGGTTCAAGATTTTTATTTCACTCAGACACATATAAATGTGTGTAACAAGAGGTCATGTAGATATAACATAGTTTGTTACATACAAATATTTCAGGGTTCAACGTATATAAAATGTTACTAGCAAACAGAAGAAAAAACTTATAGAATAGAGACACTATAGCACTTTTGTTAATTTTTGAACAAATATGCTTACACTTTTCAGCAATTTAATATCAAAAATTGTAAACATTCTTTTCACTTTATGTTGGTTTGGACTTGTATAAAAATAGGCCGGACTATGTTTTCCCCTTATTTTGACTAAAGTAACGTTATTACAAGTATATAAGTAATAGAAATCGTCCCCAATACCAGTATTACAGAGTGGGCATATTCTGTCCTGTCTTTGAATTCCCACCCATCTTCCTGTTTTTACTGGAATCTTAATATTTGAAGTTAATTTTCCTATCTTTTGCGTTTAATCGTATCAAATAGTCTTCTAAACCAACGCAATATTTAAATGTAGAGTACAATCGTCCTCTGGATGAGGTGTCAATTTTATGTCTAGTTCATTATCATATAATAGAAATCGATATATGTTAGTATTCTTTCGTTTAGAAAAGATAAAACAAATTGTCTTCTTTGTGTTTACCGTTAGTTTCCAATTCTCACAATAATCCTGAAACTTATATAGCATTGATTGTAGACCACATGCTGTCTCTGACATTAACACTGTATCATCAGCATATGAAATAACAAAAAGTTGTACGTACATACCAATATGATCATGACATTGTTCATCAATCTTTAGTAAACAATCGACATTTTTTTCTTATAAATAGTCTTCTAAATCATTTTGAAATAAAGCAAATAAAAAGGCGAGCAATTTTCCGACATTGGAAGTAAACATTTCTGACATTTCATTCCCATTTCTCACACAAGATTTCGTATCAGAATACATGTTAATTACAACTTTAAATATTTTACCAGTTATGTTACATTTGAGAAGTTTTTGCCACAAGCCTATTCGCCACACCGATTCGAAGGTTTTTTCAAAAGTCAACGAATGCACAGTATAATATTCTACCGGAGGATAAATATAACGTTGTCAAAACGTGTAAAAAAAAAATTGTTGTCTATTGTTGAGTGACCCTTTCTGACACCAGCTTTTGTATAGGTTTGTATAATCTTACATTTAAAATCGACGTAAAAAAAATCCCCAAGCATGAGACCAACGTAATGGCCCTATAATTATCCAATCTTTTGCGATCAGCTTTGTTCTTATAGATTGGATTGATTATTCCTGTACTCCAACTTTTCGGTATTATACCAGTGTCCAATATTATATTAAGCATATCAACATATACAGATAACATATGTCAACCGTACTCTTTATGTACTCATTGACTATATTATCAATACCACCGTCTATTGTCAGATCAACTTTACGACGACCTTTAGGCTTAGCAATTCTATAAATTCTAGAAACCTTGCGACACGTGTAATACGAACATTCCTTTGTATAGAAAGAAAAATGATATAGTTCATGAGATAGTTTAAAATATGTTTTCGGATCAATACTATCATGTGTGTATAAGTAGTTATTTAAATATTTGAAGATATATGATGTAATCGGATCACTACAATCATACATATATAAATAGAAAAATAGATGTTTAATGATACATGAAATATTCGAAATATGACAATGATATAATATAAACTAGTAAATTAGATAGATGAAGACATACGATCTATTCAGATCACTACACTTTCATATCTGTACCGATAGTATTGGTATGCATAACATTTATAAGAAAATAGGAAAAGTCGGAGTTTAGCTGTAGAATTAGTATTATATAACCGCAGTAACCAGAGTAACCGGAGTAACCGGAGTAACCAGAGTAACCAGAGTAACTGGAGTAACCAGAGTAACTGGAGTAACCAGAGTAACTGGAGTAGCCAGAGTAACCGGAGTAGCCAGAGTAACCAGAGTAACCAGAGTAAGCGGAGTAACCTGAGTAGCCAGAGTAAGCGGAGTAACCAGAGTAACCGGAGTAAACAGAGCAACCAGAGAAACCGGAGTAACCGGAGTAACCAGAGTAACCGGAGTAACCGGAGTAACCAGAGTAACCAGAGTAACTGGAGTAACCAGAGTAACTGGAGTAACCAGAGTAACTGGAGTAGCCAGAGTAACCGGAGTAGCCAGAGTAACCAGAGTAACCAGAGTAAGCGGAGTAACCTGAGTAGCCAGAGTAAGCGGAGTAACCAGAGTAACCGGAGTAAACAGAGTAACCAGAGAAACCGGAGTAACCGGAGTAACCAGAGTAACCGGAGTAACGGGAGTAACCAGAGTAACCAGAGTAACCGGAGTAACCAGAGTAACCAGAGTAACCAGAGTAACCGGAGTAACCAGAGTAACCAGGTAACCAGAGTAACAAGAGTAACAAGAGTAACAAGAGTAACAAGAGTAACCAGGGTAACCGGAGTGACCGGAGTAACCGGAGTAATTAGAGTAACCGGAGTAACCGGATTAAACAGAGTAACCGGAGTAACCGGAGTAACCGGAGTAACCGGAGTAATCGGAGTAACCAGAGTAACCGGAATAACCAGAGTAACCGGAGTAAACCCAAATGGTCGGGCAGATGACCACAAACCTTTTCACGTCCGATCGGGGAATCAAACCCCGGTCGGCTAAGGAACATAAATAAATAAATAAAACATTAGGGCTACTGTGGTAAAAGAACTGCATTCAATGAGGGGAAACGAAATTTTCGAAATACAGTTCTTGATTTAGAATTACTTTTTTTCTTTAAAGACACACTCTATTCCAGTTATGACACTTACTTCGTTGAATACGTCACAGGTGGTTGATCAATCGGTAAAACTTCGAGTCAAATATGTACTCAGCTATCACATCATTCGGTACCGGATTGCTATCGAGACATCAAAGCGCTCAATCAAAACGAAGTTCATTCACATTACCTTTCACGAAAACTTTTACCGTAGATGAACCCATGATATGTCATACAGGCTATCGTCTTGGTATGCGTTGCGTACAATATTCATGTTAAGCCTTTAGCGAAGGATTAAAAAGGGATATCGTACAAATAAAATAGCTGGCAACAAGTACACTTGTTTACAATTACCGAGGGACCAGAAGGGATATTTTTGCATCTGTCAAATATATGATGATTTGGCGGTAGCACTTTAGAGCATCAGACAGATATTTAATTGCACACTTCCAAGTCTGAAAGTCTGTGTTGTGTATCTTTCTTCCTGTTTATATATACATGTGCTGCTGGGTATATTCGGCAATATGTTTCAGTGAGGTAGCACTATAAAGTCAGGTCCGCACTATCACGAGGAAAAAACACGAACATATCGCAGCCTCCCAAAACACACACGCATATACTACACTCATGCATCTTGCACACAGAGGAGGCCGTCCTTAAATGATCATAACTGTTGATAGGACATTAAACAATACTAAACCAAACTATCCCGAACCATTATGAAATTATTTAGCGTGAACTATTCCACCTTGCATATCCCGTCCTAGTGGTTATCTGAAATGACAAAAACGACATAACCATTTAATTGGATGAAATAGATATTTACTACACATGTTCTTTTTTTCTTCCATAGGATGTCCGCTCTCAAAAGTTATCAACGTCGGGTTGGTTTACATTGGTATGTATTTACCTATTTTATAATATATGATCTACTGAAAAACTAGAACACAATTCGTAGAATAAAGTACAAACTGCAGTATCATAATATATGATATACTTAATTACATCACATATATTTATAATATATCATAACAATAAACATCGACAAACATCAAAAAAAAGAATGTTTAGATGTCTGAAACATCAAAGTTTAAATTTCGTCGACTATGTTTAAGTGTTGGCTATTCTTGTTCGACTAGTTTTACTATATCGTTCTAAGACTAATTAGAATAATCGATGAACATTGGTTGTTATTGAAGTTCATGTGTAATCTTTATGTAGGGTTGTTAGACGATAACATGAAGTATGTTGTCATTCTTTCACGATTTGGGCTGAATAAATGCTCTTGAAGAGTCCTAGGTCAATACTGACTTTTCCCATGCACGTATTAATTAATCATGTACGTTGTTGTGGTTTTAAAGTCATTTAAATATGTAGTATTTGCTTGCGTCAGCAGATACAGCATTATAATATAAGTTTCCATTGACTGTAATTCAAAGAGTGTCTCACACATAGCATCCCACATAGTGTTAAGAGTTCATATGACCTACCGAGGTTACGTTAAAACAGTGATACAAATAGAAGGGTACCCAGTTGTGAATATTAGACGGTGGTTTCTGCCCAAAAACGCGGACGAAATTAAACCTACACGTACAGGTATCACCCTGACTTTTAAACAGAGTGAGCCTTCTTACGATCATCAGTATCAGATGGGTATGATAGAGTGCAAAAAACGTAACCCTTATGGAACTTTGACGTGATCCGGAAACTTGTGCATGAACTCGAATTCAACTGAATCTCTACTTGTAATTGAAAATGAGTGGATTTTATTTCTGAAGAATCTACTTGTTTGCAATCATTACTAATTTGTCTGTAGCATTAGCCATGTCATATTGGATGCCCTCCTGTCCTAACAGTGTCATGCATGGGTATTGTTCTTTTTTACATTGTAAGGAGAAAATAAAAAGATCGTGTGTAATTTATATGCATTTGCCCATATTTTCTTACACATATATTAGTTATGAGTAATCCTTTACAATGTTGACAAATGAGGAGCGACAGTACTTGGAGAGTATTTGGTCTGACCCAAAGCATGCTGGGTCATTTAGTGGTCACTACAAATTATACCAAACTGTTAAAAAAAGAAGGCCGATTTAAGATCAATCTGACACGTATCAGACAGTTTTTGTAGAGACAAGAAGCCTATTCTTTGCAAAGAAATGTCAGGAGAAAGTTTAGAAGGAGACATGAAGTAGTCAGTGGACTCGAAAGTCAATGGGACGGTGACTTGATGGACGTCAAAAACCTGGCAAAACACAACGCTGTTATTCAGTACATTCTAGTCCTACGGTATGTCTTTTCTCGTTTTGTGCTCACGGCCCCTTTGAACCGAAAAACGGCAGAAGATATTGTCAGCGTTTTGAAGTCCATATTTAACAGGGGAAGACAACCCTTGATCCTTCGTTTTGATAAGGGGAAAGAGGCAAAAACAATGTCGTACAGAACTATCTACGTTTTGTAAAAGAACATATCACATTTACAGAAAATGAAACTAAATCGAATTTAGCAGAAATTACCATCAAGGCCTTAAAAAACAGAATGTTCCGCATGTTTACATTTGATAGCTCTCACAGATACATTGATCAACTGGAGGACAAACCCGATAGCTTCAAGACCACTAGGAGGCATTTCCCCAGCAGAGGTAAACAAAAGGATTTTATGGACGAGTCGGTATCTGGAACTTTCTATCAGGAGGAACTTCAGAAAGTAGTCAAAAGTGAAGAAACCGTGTGGAAAATCGACGAATTATTACAGGAAAGGAAGTCAACGAATTGACCGAAACTGAAGCTATTTAGTAATAGGTCTCCGTTCGTGGTGATAAGTGGAAAGACTAGCCCATCGTACAGGTTTGAGATACTGGACGTGTCCAATAACGCATGCATGATAACGGTAGATAGTGGATTTCTAATCAATCATTCCGAAATACTTAAGGATGTTACGGCAAAATACCCTCTAACGAAAACGGAGGTACAGATGAACACGCGCACTGCTGGCTCAGGATCGTTCATATGGCAAAACGTTTAGTCAAATAATCTTCCTTCGAAGGTTTATTTTGCTATCGTCAAGCAAAAGGCCGTGAACAGAGATTATACAAGCTCTAGCGCCTAGTGGACTCGGAGAGGAACATTTAAACCTGGTCAGGCAAGGCAGTGCCAGCTTACAGGTACAATTTGGGAGCAACACCACGGAGACCCTCAACTGTGTAGCCTATGCAGAATTCCCGGCTCTCATAGAGATCAATCATAGACGCGATAAGCATGAACACTGATCAATTCAAATATGCCCTGAAGGAAATGAAACTAGAATACAGTTACAGTGTTTGCTCGAGTGACACTTTACCTAGTGCCGTCACCGACCCTACCATCGACGAGTGTAACACCGATCCCTGTCATCCTCCCGGTACGCATTGGGTGGTGTTTTGGATAAGCAGTCACACGTTTCACGACAGTCTAACACGGTTGCCTGAATAGTGATCATTTTGAGGAGTTTGTAAGAAAAAATATTAAAAATTGACAATGTATGATGCTGTACAATTGTTGACACAGTGTAATTCAGCGGACAAATTTTTATATGAATATATATCCAATTAGTTCAAATGTGTGTAAAATAACAAAGTAGCCTGTAGTCAAACAACCTGTGTATGTTGTCTATATAACTTGATGATATACGATTCGAATAGTCAGTTAAAGTCAGATATCAGAGAGGGATACATCATGTCCTCAGAGGGTCATTCTGATGGGAAACGAGATCTCTATTATCATTCAAATCCCCGACTACTGTACCTGATATCGATGTCGGGCAAGACGACTTTGGCATTCGATATTTTAAAACAAGCCTCCGGTATGTTTGAGATAAAACCTACACAAATAGTATTTGCGTACAGAAAGTATCAACCCTTACTAGAACAGATGGAAAATGATATACCTTGAATCGTTTTGCACCAGGGTATCCCGTCCCGGGAAGAGATACAGGACTGGAGTCAGGGAAACGACCATACCGTTCCCGTTTTGGACGAAATGATGAATCATGTGGCTGAAAACGAGGACTCACTGCATTTGTTTTCTGTGACGGACACGTGACGGTCATGTTTCTAACTCAAAACTTTTCTATGCCCGGGAAATATGCCAGGCCCATATCACTAAATTGTTAATACGTACTGTTATTGAGGAACGTCAGAGAAGCTCGTCAGATTATAACATTTGGAAGTCAAATATTTCCCGGGAAAAGTAGTTTCATTAAACAACAATACGAAAAAGCAATGACTATTTCACGCTATAGTTATTTACTGATCGATCTATGTCCTTCGTCAGAAAAAAAATACAGACTGTGCACGTGCATATTACCGTTTATTTACTAAAATGATAAATATAAGAAACACCATTTTACCTCATTCAGTCGAAATGAGTCGATCACTGAGAGCACACGTGTGTTATTTACAATTAATGTACCAGCCTAGCGTTAAAAAGTGAAAAGCCCTGATATCTGCAGTGTGTGAAGTCGCCCTGAACATTTACAGAGACGCGTTTGACCTCTCCGGTGTTTACATAAAGAAACTCAAACCCTACAAAACCGTCATTCGATCACTGATGTGCAAACGGATAGGGCGCAGACATAAAGAGGAAATACTTTTGAGGCGTTACGGTTTATTGCCCTTATTGATAAAACCTGCTCTACAGGCATTGAAAGTGTACGATGGCTTACGAACTCATTCTAATACCTAGGATGAAATACGAGATGATGGTGTCCCCCCAGAATCCGACGATTTAGTACACCTGAGAAATGTATGTCACGATGCAGCAGGAAACCCCCACGACAAACTCTATTATGGACATGATAAAATTCGTTATCCCAAAACAAATTTTAAAACAAGCAGTACACCTTCTGAACATTCTGATAAACCATGGGCAATACCGTTAGTGGAACACTCGTGGTGAATTGATATACAAGGGAGAAACTATACATGATTCAGACAGCACCGATCTGATGAGGGACGCCGTCACTGTCAAGACAACACACAAGCCACGTGAATATCAAGAATTTTACAGTGGACTAAGAGAGCTGTACACGCCCGTTTATCGTTAATACTGATCGTAACTTACACTTATTGGGCGATAATCCCCGCTTCAAAGGGGTCACGGGTACATAGCTAAAAGACGAACGAACGGTGCTCCACCAGGTTAATTAGTTTTAAAGAAAGCTAAAAAAGCATCAACTGGATTGAATTTTAATAATGAACAAAGATAATTATTGCTTACATCATAACACACATTTTCATATATACCGATGTTAAAACGGTATATCATTATTATATTTTATGTACCGAATCATTCAGAATTAAACAGGCATGCAATGGAATTACCGATTTTACTTGTTTTAGTGTTATGAAAATGTACATAAAAACGTGTCAATGAACAAAAGCCATTACGTTCAGTTGTACAAAAAAACTTACATGAATGAAAAACTGGAAATCATGTGTCGAAAAATTGAACCGTGACATGTACAATTGTAGTGATTTTGATCTATGTTTATATGAGATAAGGAAGACTTCTTAAAAAAATCATGCCTCTTAAAGGGGATATGATTTTTTGTACACGAATCAAAACTGAAATCTTGTATGTAACAAAAACGAGGTATGAAAAAAAAATCGTTTCGAATGCCTGTGCAAAAAATGTTCCATAAACAAAATATTAGTCGACTTAATAAAAATAATCAGATGGTAAACAAATTCATGATATTTGATACGTTGCTAACATGAAATAAAGAAGACTATTAAAAACAACGTTTTACACATATGTACCTAATAGGCGATTGTTTTTTGTTCCTATTAAACCTCTCTGATTCAATACTCATATGGTAACGTGTCAAATGTACTCCATTGGATATATCGCTTTGTATAAACTATTCTGTATTTTTTTTTCTTCAACTGAAGGATATATTTTTCATTTTCGTTTTTGTCAAGCTATTTTGTTTGGATTTGTCAAAGAAACATTGCGTTCTTCTTTACGCGGTGCTTCAATTAAATCTAGCATTTTAGCATTGTTATAATTTAGAGTAAAACCTCTTATTTTGTAAACTCTATTTCCTTTAGATGTTAAGTACGAATACTGATTTGGACCACCCGATACAAAATGAACGATGAAGTCGTCATGGTCGAGCTAATTAGTCAACTCACCAAGGTAGTCACCGAGGTGGGGGTCAACGTCACCCTGTCTACTAACGAATATCACGCTGTAGGTGTCGTTATAGAGGACGCGTTCCCCGAGCATTTCCAACACACTGTATAATTTTAGTCTTGCCCAGCATGCTGTCATGCTAGCTACGAATATATTGGTTTGGTTATTTCCCGAATAAAATGTTCGTAGTTCTCCCAGGTTACTTGTCATGTGTCGTCGGTGACAATGTGAAAATCTTTTATGTTTTTTCCTGGATCAGACAAGCACTGAAAAAACTTGTCAGCCTCGAACTCATAAAAGAAAGTTGACTGAGGCATGTTCAATCTTTGACAAAATTTCCCCCTGAACGATTTTAACAGTAATTTGGCCAAAAATCTCAATGGTATGTTCTTTTTTATGCTGTCGGGATTCAGACGAATATCATCTCGCTTGAAATAATACCCAATGGAACGAGCAGCATCTGTCTCGGTTTTCACCCAGGCAGGCCAGTCGCTGGACTCTTGCTTAAATTTTAGAAACAGATCAACGTATCCGTCAAAAAAGACCGCCTTCTCAAATTATTTTGATCACAGATTACTCTTTAATTCTACTGGGGATTTTCCCAAGTAACCGCATTCTTTTGCACAGGGCAATGACCTCGGGACAGCCGTCGTGCTCCTCTGTTCTATAATAGGAGGGTTCTGTGTTTATCCCCTGATTTGCACAGGGCAATGACCTCGAAATACCACGTGATCCTCTGTTCTATAATACTGCTCTGGGGATTTTCCCCTGAGGTTGCCCACATTTTTGTTTCAGGTCAATCCCACTTTCTGGGTAAGGTCAATGACATTCCCGGTCATGACCTCCTTATAGGTCAAGGTCAGTAGGTCAAAAGGCATATCTCTAAGGTCAGTAGATATAAGGACATACATGTACCTATTTATGTACATGTACGCTGCTGGGGGTTAACAAGGAATTATGAGTCACTTATTCTAGCTCTTATTTACAAATATCATATTTCTCTATCCAGTTACATGTATATGAAATAATATTAAATTACTATAAATAATAAAATCATCAACGAATAGTTTATTCATTATACACCTTCACACTGTTTGTAGGCAGTAGAGTAATACAAAAATGTTCAAATATTATTTTGGTACACATATCTTGGCTTATTATGGTTCATCAGTTTCTTAAATAACACTAATAATAGTTTTTGAAAATAAATGATATATATGCGTGTATCGTTGATAATTTTGCTTTTGCAGACCTGGACTGATCCACGTTTTAACTGGTCAAGCGCTAGTTATGCTAATATTCTTGAGACCTATGTCCACGAAGATAATGTATGGCTTCCGCAGATGGTTGTTGACAATACGTAAGTGCATAATATATGTATGTAAAAATCATGTAGACTAAATAACGTTAATTAGATGTTTTGATCAAAACATACATGTTCTCGACATGTTTGAGTTCCTTTAATATACTTCTGTTATTCTTTTCGTGTTGATTTTGAGATACCCATTTGTCCTTGTATGTTGACGTTGCGGTATTTATTGTTTTTTGGTGGTTTTTTTGCCTTACCAGTAACGTTAAGCTAAAATTAAACATAAATGTCTGCTTCTATTTAGGCCTAGTACATTTACACATCCCTTTTTCCGGTTATCATTTTGCAGTGGTAAGATGGCGCAATAACATACAAACACTAGAGTTTGTACGACTAATCATTGAGTTTTGATGGTCACTGAAATTCCTTCCTAATAGATTACATTACCACATTGGTTTCATGTTGACCTGACTCTCTTCAGTAAATATAAAAAAAAATGTAAAAAGGTGTAATTAGTTAATGAGAATTTACATAAGCATAGTAATCATCCATCTTAAGTTTGATCTAGTTTTGTTTCTTCCATAACATGTATATTATGCCTAGAACACCATTTGTTTGTCTGCCTCATTCTCGTTCCCGGACGGACAAAACATTGTCACGAATAATAACGTCAGATTGAAAGATGCCAGTGCAATATATTGTAACGCGACTTCATTATTAAATGACTTACTGTTTAAACAAAGTTCAGGGTGAAACCCACTGGGGGATTACTAATTAATCTTAACCGAAATCAAGCATGTTTATCAAATTGATTCTTGATTCTTGATATAAAAATGGTTGTGGGAAAAAATACATATAACAAACGATTAATTTTTAATTAACGATGTAATTGCATGGAAATCTTTATAAATGAAAGAAATATAAATAAGACTCCTTAAAATATGCGCATGTTAAGTAAACAAAGAGTTTCTATTGGTGTTGTGTTACACATCTTGAAAATTGTATTACCAATATTGTTCTTTGGTGCTTAAAAATGAGCATAATATAATGGTTAGCTTTTTCTCAAAATATGAAAATGCAAACGTCTGATGTAATCTAATTTGATTTTGCTATTTCGATTTTGTCTTTCCAAAAGGATATACAATTCTGTTACCTTTGTTGAACATACGCATTTTGCTAGGATTTGTATAATGTAGTGAAAAAGACTGGTACGTGTCCGTGGATTACCAGTGTTTTCTAGTTGGAAAATATGTAAGTTCTCGGAGCTTTTGCATATTGTTTGGTCATAAAAAACAATGATTAATGATCTGAACAGGAAAATATTTTCAATCGTAAGGAGTAATGGCGACTTGGGCAGTTTTAATCTTGAAAAAAGTGTTAAGGTGATTCACGTCGGGTAAGGTACATGTTAGTGATATCTTCATGTACATATTTCGAAAAACTTTCACTTGCAATAAACTTACCAAAAAACAGATACAGATTAATGTCTTAAAAAGCTGTATAAATACTTCCGTTTTTGTTATGATAGGGAAAACAAATACAACATCGCCTTGGTTTCTTTTTGGTACAGGATTAAAAAAAAAAAAAAATGTATTCAAAGATGAATGTGTACTCATATATTAATAAACGTTACTTTTAGTTGGATTAAGCTCTGTCGTGCATATGTTGTTTAAAAAAACCCACTTAGAAGTGCTAGTCTAACGTACTTTACTTATATTCTAGTATCTGTGAGTTCTTACAAGAAAATGTTATATTTTGATTTCAGATTTGATAAAATATCTGCAATGTCCGGTTCAAATCTTTTGTTACGTGTGACGTCACATGGACTTGTCACGTGGGAGCCTCCCGGTCTATACAACACGCACTGCGCCGTCGATACAACATGGTTTCCTTTCGATGTGCAAACTTGCATAATATCAGTATGTATTGAATTTACCCCAAATCGGTAGGTCTATTGCTGTATGTATCGAATGTACCCCAAATCGGTAGGTCTATTGCTGAATGTATTACATGTACCCCAAATCGGTAGATCTATTGCTGTATGTATCGAATGTACCCCAAATCGGTATGTCTATTGCTGTATGTATTGAATGTACCCCAAATCGGTAGGTCTATTGCTGTATGTATTGAATGTACCCTAACTCGGTAAGTCTATTGCTGTATGTATTACATGTACCCCAAATCGGTAGGTCTTTTGCTGTATTATTGAATGTAACCCAAATCGGTAGGTCTATTGCTTTATGTATCGAATGTACCCCAAATCGGTACGTCTATTGCTGTATTTTGGAATTAATCCTGTATCGGTATGTCGTTTGCTGTATATATGGAATTTGTCTCATATCGGTATGTCTTGTTTTTTTCCCGTTTCGGTATGAGCTATTTATGCTGCGTATCTGTATTCAAAGCATGTGACCATTATCTGTATATGTCAGTTGTCTCTTCTATCGGAATGTGTGGAATAGGATTCGCATCGATATGTACGCAGCATAGCTCTTATTGTGTTTTTTTTTACATAGCAGGAGTAACCGGTATGCACTAGATCATTACGACTGGAATATAAAGTCAGTACTGTTGTCCTTATCGATGTGTTAATGATTTGGCTCAAATCAGAATGTGTAGTTCAGTCATCATTTCAAATGTTCCTGTGACATTTCTACCATTAAAAATAAAGAGGTATGCATATGCTTATTTCATAGAAACGAATGCGAATAAGATCTGTAGAGTTTCAAAGCTTTCCGATCTCCACAAGGAAATGTCATCATAAAATATGTGTATTATTCTGTTATGATTGTGTTGTAACGACGAGTTTCATTGGTCAATTGTCAAACATTTTCATGTGAAAAACAAATGTAATAGACGAGGACCAGAAAGCTTAGTTATTACTGTTTGGGTAATGTATCTTCAAATGTTTTTCAATTCATTGACAAAAGAGAATTTTATTGTTTATTTATAACCGGAGCAATGAATTAGGCTTGAACAGTTAATCCATATTTGAGCACGAGAACGGTTTTATGAAAACGAGTTGAGGTCTTATCTTTTCTTGAATCTTCACGGGAAAATTTGAAGAGAAATGTTTTAATACATTCGTTCATATGTATTTCAGGTATCAGGTTGGTCATATAACATGGAAGATCTTAATGTAACGAACAAAGTATCACATATTTCTACCAACGACTACAGAGTGAACGGTGAATGGCTGTTATCGCGCACGTACATCTCCTCCATACCAAAGGAAGGTCGATCACATCTAAACCTCGTCCTACAACTAGAAAGACGATCTGCGTTCTACGTCATGAATGTCCTCGTTCCTGTTTTGCTGACGTCACTCTTGACCCCGATGGTTTTCAAGCTGCCTTCTGAGTCGGGAGAACGAATATCTTTTATATTGACGGTTGTGCTTGCCATTGAGGTCCTTTTGACAGTTGTATCCGCTCACATGCCAGCAACTTCACTCCATACGTCAGTTATGGGTATGTTGTCGGGTCTTTCTTTTTAAGGCCAGATTTTTACTGTTATTTGTATTCATTTCCTGGAGACTTAATTCTCGATGTTTTCGTTTGTGCTTTATATCCACAATCAATGTTAACTGAATAATAAGTAGTATAAAGTTTGGTGTAAAGGAATAGTCAGTATTTGTCTTAAAATGGTAGTATTGGAGCTACACACAGGGAACATTACATTTAAACAACCATCAATGCGAAATGTCTATTTGAACATCTGTCGGGATCGGAATCAGCATCGGGATCTGACAATTTTTCTATTTCACATCTTGTAAAGCTTAAAATAACTCCGGAGTCACTATGCATTTGCCGTTCTTCAGATTACATGCCAATAAGTGCAGTACTGTTGAAATTCGATGTTACTTTCCATTTGTATTTCTTCATTATTCGAATTATCGTTCATTCCCTTTATAATCGTTATCGTTAATGTATTGGTGTTTTGAACCACCTCGCAATCTGGGCCCCTGGAAAATATAATATTATGTAGCATGCTGTTATCCTGTGACCAATGCTCAAAATGACATATCGAATTTCAAACTCCATGTCTTAGACAATTGCGGACACCTGTATTTTTGTAGATAAGACTGAAGTGGCGGGTGCAAAGTGTGGTGCAAGAAACACTTTCTATTCACCTTAGTTTGCCTCTAATACTTTGTTGTGGTACTACCTGTATAATTCGCTCACCCTCACCGTTTACAAGAGTTTCGCCTCCGGGTTGTTCGAGAATATGTTTTTCCGGTATACAGTGTATTACTGAAATAGTATATAACATTGATTCATGGAATTACCTGTACTAAGTTAATGAGGTATTCCTCGAAAAATATCGCCTTTTGTGTTATAAAACTTTCTTATTCTTGCAGAACTGTATCTGGTGATGGTTCTAAGCATATCTGCCTTAGCTGTAATACTGACGTCACTGATACTGAATCTTTACCATAGAGAGGACGACATGGAACTTCCAAAAGGGATTCGGTTAATGCTACAATGTCATCAACAATTACAAAGACGAACGCAAGTAGGAAGCGCCAAAGAAGAGACGGGACATGCTATGCACAAGCCTTGTAACACAAGCAACGACGAATCTTCGTCAAGCGATGAAAAACATGCAAATAGCAACGTGGTGGAGGAATTTGATAAGATCGGCAACCTTAAGAATAACAAGAGGATAACGTGTCAAAAATTGAGCACACATCTTGATGACATTTTCTTTTGGGTGTTTTTCGGTCTTACTCTGTTGTGCACTTTGATTTTTATGTTGACAATGGGGTTTGGAGGTTCATAGTTGCTATTCCAAAATAACTTTTACATACTGAAAATACTTCGTACCAGTCCACATACCTGGATTCGTTCACCTCACCTCAAACTCGGCGACTTGCGTATACCACTTACACTTGTAGACTCTACTTTTTGTGTAATGCTGTCTCTGTTTTGCACGCAAATTCGACTGTTAGCAATAACGCTTGCAGGTACAAGCCACAACTGAAAAAACGTAAACTGCAGTCTCCTGTTTTGTAAACTAATCACTTAATTATGCACGCTTGATAACATGTTTAAAATACAAAACAAACTTAGTTTAAATACCCATTCCATGAATACGTTCACATCTAATCTTTTGACATTTAAACACTTTTTTAAAACCTTTTTTGTAACTAATATGTTTACAATACCGCGTGGGCGATGACGGCTACAATTGAAAAAAAACATACAACTCTTATTACACATTCCTGGTATACGTTCATATGAAATCATGTCAAGTTATTAGACCAAGTCGACAACAAACAACTATGTTGTATGTTTACAACATACAACTCTTATAACACATTCCTGGTATACGTTCATATCAAATCCTGTTGTTAAGTTATTAGACCACGTCGACAACATACAACTATGTTGTATACAACATACAACTCTTATAAAACATTCCTGATATACGTTCATATGAAATCATGTGAAGTTATTAGACCATGTCGACAACATACAACTGTGTTGTATGTATACAACATACAACTCTTATAACACATTCCTGATATACGTTCATATAAAATCATGTGAAGTTATTAGACCACGTCGACAACATGCAACTGTGTTGTATGTATACAACATACCACTCTTATAACACATTCCCAGTATACGTTCATATGAAATCCTGTGTTATTAGACCACATCGACAGTCTTTTTGTAAACATTATCTCTGCAGTTCACGTTAATTTTATGATTTAAGTCGTGCAGTTATTAAAGCTAGGACTGGAAACTGTTTTGTTTAAGTAACATAATATAATATATAGTATATAGTACATTTATAAATATAGTGACATCATCACAAGCACTACCATAACATTTTATCAGCCGGAAATACTATGAAATAATTAATTTAATTGGGTAATCGTCTTCCACGAATTATTAGGTCCATGAAGTATTTGCAAGCTTGACATGAAGCAATTCATCGTGTAAGAGGGTACTCCTAATCCACGAATTTATGTATCAATGAAATGGTAGTTTTTCTGGAAACTGCAAATTTTGGGCCCCACGAAAATATCTGATGTCGCAGTATGTTAATAACATGCCATGTAAGTGGAGAGATAAAATCTTGATTTTCGCAATCCGCAATGATTAGAATTTGTAACGGCATAACCTTCGTAGGCTGTGATTGACCGATACCAGTTGTTCACATTTCCCACTTTTTATCCTCTACTCTCCTTTTTCTGTAGACACAAACCCCTTAACAATTATTTTAACATTTCTCCGGGGACATTATATATCGATTTCCATGTATAACACTACTGGTACTTATCGCTGTATAATAGAAATGAAACGTAATAATATAAATACCCAGAGTTCAGGTTGCATTTCTTTGTTGTGTATATTTAGATTTGTCATCACGATTAATTTCCCTGTTACTTTATAGTCCTACATCACAGTTTTACGATATAGCCCAAACAGACCTAAACATGAATAGGATATTTGCGTTAAAACAATATTACCAGAAACGCACCCATTCGAATTCTCCAGAGAAATTTATTTCTAACTCATAAATAAGGAGATTCAATTGTAGTTCGTTAGAATTGCACGGATAAGGATTGTACTGAATATACAGTGTTAATTACATGGGCCGACATTGAAATCCTGTGTGAAGTTATTAGACCACGTACATTGTTCCCTATAGGAACACATGTTTATAGACAATTAGTACAGTTTTTACCGTTTTGGCAAAAACAGATAATAGAACGGATGATGTTGATTGCGTGCAAGTTTACATGAAGGTGTTTCATATATGTATATACAAATATGGATAGATGATTTATATTGTCATAGTTAGGGAAAAATCAATAAAAGGGTTAACAGCAATCGACTCACTATCATCCTTATACTTCAGTACTTTGAATATCACTGTGAATAAAACTTGTGTTGTTTTATTCATGTCTCGGTTTTATTTAAGTAGGGCCTATAGTGTTTCCCATGTCAATTTCGTCTAGTCCTGTCTATTTGAGTCATGATTTAGTGTCACCGCTCTAGAGAGTTCGTTTCTAAACAAATGTCGATCGGATTTGATACATAGATAAATATTAGAATGCCTAGAATCAGTTAAAATTTCTGGGTTTGAAATCGAAGCCTGCGAAAGCGTTTTTAAGTAAAGAAAATGTGTCAACAATGACTTTTATTTTGCACGGAGGCTAGGACATTCTTGCCTCATGGACATTGTCTAGTTACATTTTTCAATATAACATTTCATTGACATGATGTGATGAATATTTGATAAGGAATACTATCCCTGAACAAAGAGGAAAAAATTTTGTGGAGCCCTAGCATCATCATTTCATAAAAGTGAAAAAAAGGAAACTTCACACGAAATTGTTAAGCATGTGAAAACCCTGAACGAGTTTGTGTTTTAGTGTGTTACGATCAAGGTTAACGCGTAACTGTTACAGGAAAACCATTGGCATTACGCTAGCAATTTATTTGTAAACGTATGTATTTTTAATAAGAGCGTAGCTCTCGGGCGCAAGTAGCCCTCCAGTGGGCAAACAGGTGTATCCTTGAAGCAAAAACAACTGTGTTTCAACCCATACATGAACATCTTTATATAGTGAAAACAATCCTAATGTTTTATTACTTGTTTATTGCGATACAAATAATATACATTCTGAATCAAAAAGTATATTACATAAAAGCTTGTGTGATAAGGCATGAAACTTCGTTCGGAGATTATCATACTATGACGTCACAAACACGTCACAATCGGCCTTCATCGGTTATTTCCGGAAGGATGAAAAATAACCGGAAAATTATGATGTCCGTTGCATTCATATCTCTTTGTGGGCGTTCACTGTTTTTTTTTTTATTTCAGTTTTTGTCACACGCACAAAAAGTACAAATTGGGATATTTTCTGGATATCCTTTTCGTCATCAACCAGGTTCTGTTAATATTTCTACAGGGAGATATCTTCAAAAAGAGCCGGCATTAAACACATAGATCAGCGTGTACATCACCTAAAAAATTCATCAACGTTTGATTTCCAGTTGTTGAGAATATGAACGGAAAAATTTAACATTTTTGAAAGTCTGGTTATAGACTTTACATAAATGTTTTATGCATCACTACTCGTGAAAGAAACAATGGTTAATGCGTTTATGACGAAATAAACAATAATTTTCCAGACAACAAACCCGAGTTCAACGCCCTTTTTCAGCAACGTATTACTTTTTCACAACGCGTGCCGATTTATAACTAGTTACAGACAGAAACTGTGAAATTCTATTTGGCATCATTACCAGTAAAATATCGGTGACAGTTACAAAATTTGATATTCAATACGGTGTTTCGGGATGGAACAGTGATTGAGACTACATATCGATATAACGACGATCTCAGTTACATTAAAGTATATTCTTTTTTAATTTTAGTATTTAACTAACATCTCTACACATTTACTTACACTAATTGTCAAATATGTAATATGCACTTTTTCTATAGCAATTACAAAACAGTTTTTTCCCAAACCTATCTCAATCACGCAGAGGAAATAATTCTTAATGTGGCAGGAAGATGGAGTATCCGGAGAAAACCCGCGTGGTCGGGCAGGTGATCAGGATTGAATCCGGCCATCTTGGTGACGACGAGCGCGCTATCCACTGCGCCATCCGACCCATCATATACGTTACGCACAAAAACAAATATCTACTTTAGCTTTTACTGGAGGAAAATGGCGTCATTAATGTTTAAAATATATTGTAAATTCCTTTGTAGCAATCAATGATACAAAAATCTACATACGGTAAACCGGGGCAAGTTCGGTCACCCCTGATATTTTTGTTTTAGAGCTAATATTTACATCATTAAGAATCTTAGCAGTTGGCTGGGTATTGAACGAAAAAATGGCGAGGAAAACTCTAATGTAAAATTACTTTTGTTGTGGTCTTTTTTTCAAATACTACACAAACATATCAAGTGAGACTCCTTATGGAAAATAACGATCGGATTTGGCTGAAATAAATTCATAAAAATGATTAAATCTAAGATAATCATCGGTATTTCTACCTGTCTGACCAACGTTTTGTTCAGGGATTTCCCTCTACTAGCGCATGCGCATATCACACCATTTATTTGTGAATAGAATGACTGGCCGTACAAGCAAGCGGAAGAAAAAGTGTTGTATCGTGTCCGCTACGAAGTGAAAAGTTGCCAAACGGTCAAAAGATAGCGCAAGGGGTACGTTACGGAATTATTATTGCAGGTGGGAAGCATTCATAGGATAAAATAACTGCCCTAGCAGTAAGTTCTGTTAAGCAGAATGGAATCAACAGAAATGCTAGCGCTGTTTATGTTATGAATAAATATCTAAAACTATTAACCTCGCTAGTATCTTTGTCTGAGTTTGAACACAGATAAACTTAGTTTAATATGTTTATGGTCATGTATCGGAGAGATTTTACTTTGTGTTTCCATAATTATACAGTGGTTTATGCGAAAGGAAGGGATGAGTGACTGGTTAGTTTGATTTTGCCATGAGGCCCTCCAAGGGATAACTGTTGTGAAGGCCACGGCGTATTCCGTTCTCTCCTCTGCGGTTGGTACTCAAACGTCACACTTGCAAAGCAAATATACTATGCTATAAATCTTCGTTGAGAGGACTAACATGTTACTTTTAAGCCCGTCTATTCGAAGAATATGAGGGCTATAGCAGTACCCACGGCGTCCCACTTGGTTACGGTTTTGGGGCAAACTGTGCTTTTGTGTTAATCTCAAATTCTAAATTAATTTTACATTCTAATATGGTTACAGCTATTGCTTGGAGGCTCCTTGATAGTGGACCATATTTGCTCATTATTGGTCCAGAACTGGAATCGGTTAAAGTTTTTGGGCAAGTCAAGTTCTACAGGTTAAAGTTTTTGGGCAAGTTCTACCTCTTTTAAAACTACTGGGCAGATTTCAACCAAATTTGTAAGGAAGCATCCTTAGGGGAAGGTGATTCAAAATTGTAGAAATGAATTCCCGGCCCCAGGGGACAGATGGTCGGGGCCGAAAGTGGTAAATTTGACAGTATGCCATCAAACGATACATTTGTATCTCCTCCTAGACTATTTGGCAGATTTCAACCAAATTTAACAGGGAGCATTTTAGGGAATGGGGATTCATGATTGTACAAATAAAGATCCTGACCCCCCAGGGGACAGATGGGCGGGGCCAAAAGGGGTACATTTGACAGTATGCCATTAAACTCCTAGACTATTTGGCAGAGTCTTATAGCATATCAAATTAAACATTACACTATTTGAAGTAGGAACTTTAAACTTTTAGACATGGTAAATAGATGTATGTATTCAGAATTTTGATATGGCCCCTACTGACCGGGCCAGAGGGGTTGAGTCGTGGGGGTCAATTTTTGTTTATATAGTCTTTTAGCATATCAAATTAAACATAACCATGAGTTCTATATTTTACAGTAATTTATTTTTGCATAATATGGTAATCGGGGGGAGGGAGGTAGTTGGGGGCTACTTGCGAGGGAAAGCGGGAGTGTTCCATCGACACTGTAGTTCTAGTTTCCTGATCTATTATCTAAGATTTGACATCCTGTAATGGCCCAATTACTATTAGCACTTTTTACAAAAATAATTTAAATAGACGAGCTATGCTGTTCTCCTGCAGCTCTTGTTAGTCTAGTTGCTAAAGTTATACGCAGTAAACACTGTTATAGCGTTGTTTTAAATTCTAAGTTCAGCTATGTCGATGACTTTAACATAACTTTAACAAATAACAAATATAATCAAATGTATAACTTATATTCGACCCTCCTCTCGTTATTTCGATAGCAAAGTTTCAATTAAAACAGAAAAATATTATTGAAGAATTAATCTTTGAAATTTATACAATGTTTCAACCATGACTGATGTAATTGTGTTATGGCCTTCATTACACATTTCTGTGGCTAAATCAAGCACGTCTAGAGATGTTCATGAGATACTATAAAAAAATACATCAAAGGCATATACAGACAAATTACAGTGGTTGGCGATGGATGATTCCAAAAAATGAATGGTTTATCAAAACTAATTTTAAAAGTCACAAATTGAAATAGCATACACTTTAAATAACACTTTCTCTTGTGTTAAGAGTTTCTATTGGGTGCATTGTCTTTTGCTCTTCTGGCAGTTCGTCTGTGTTATCAGTTGGCGCTCTATAAAAATACTGAGCAAGAAAATAGCACACGACACTACATGATTTCACTAGACACCACCAAATAAATATCCTGATTCCCATATCCGATTTTTCGTATATCCAACAGCTTCCTGTTTCACCGCACACATCCTGCCATACTTTACATGCGCTGTCAATGATAGACCCGATCATAAGCGGCCCTGGAGTTGTACCTGAAACAATTTAATGTTTTCGTTAGGGAAAGTAATTAAGGAAATATAGTCAGTCGTTCTCCAAAATGTTCATTTATTATTGTCTTCTATGTTTTCAATTCAGCGGAAGTCCCCTTAAACTTTCATATACAAATACGGTATATTTGTTGTTCAGTTTTAAAGTTGATAAGTACAAGCAGCCGCGTAATCGGCTGCCATGTCACCATATGTGTGCTTACATGTATCTGCTTCACCTGGGTGGAAGTCTGAACAGAAATCACGATATCCCTACACGAAACAACCAACCTTGTCAGTAACCACTTGTTATCATGCACACTGTACGTACAAAAAGAGGCTTAAAAACTGGCCACTATGTCAGCATAGGGGCCAACACTACTGCAGAGAGGTATCCAGAAGTCCCATTAGTAATCTCTGTGTCTAGTTAAGTAGCGACTTGTCTACACAATAAACATCGTGCCCCGATACTTACCTAACAGCCTCAACAGTAACCACTGTGTTCCTATGGCAAGAGTTTTTTGTGATTCTGGAACGCACCTTGGAACAAAAACAATAGCTAACCTTAAATTTCAATCGTGACATTGCTTCTCCGTCATGTGATGTGTTGTGTTGAATACTCAAGTGAAAACCATCCAAATAACGATCCAATTAACATTATCATATCAGTTGCATATTTAAATACTTTATATTTAATGCACTTAGGCTAAGTTTCACATCTAACGACATATGTATAGATATGATTATGAATATTTTCCGTCATCAGAAAGGCGGGCCTAGGGTTCCCGACTTAGGGTACACCGTTTTACCTTGTCTAAAAAGATCTAGCAGCGTAATTGAGTGTTTCTTTTTTACCTTGACAAAGTGGTAATAGTGCTTTTGTTCAATTCCAGGATAACAACCATACCTACGATTTGCAGTTATATATATTTCCCGACCCCGATTAGTTTTTGTTCACGTGCCTGGTTCTGCATTACTGTTATTCTGTTATATACGAAATTGCGTTGCAAAATATTGGAATTATCAGTAGAAACTGATATGCGCAATATTTTTCAAAATATATGTCATTAAAGAGAAAGGGAAATGTCTTTATGATGAGTGTTGTCGTTTCACCTATTAACTTCGTACAGATGTCACACACACAACAAAAGGTAGGGGATTCAAACTTTGGTTGTTGATATGTGTGAATAATTGTTGTTTATGATCTCTTGTTCTTTTGTGATCTCACCTAAGCGTGGCTGTCTGAGTCGGAGATACCGTCATAAATGTTAACAGCATACCCAGGAAAAACAACGGAGCAACCAAATAGAACAGCTTACAGTCCGACATGCAAATACCCTGGAATGCACCAATGGGAGGGCCCGTTACATTTACGGAATTCATCGGAGTTGTGCTTTCCAGTGCCATCGGTACCTGTGACGTAACTTCCGGGCCAGACGTTGGCGTACTGTTCATCAATGCAATCATGGATGCGGTGATGCAGGAACAGTTTTTGTAAAACTGTAAGACATGAAACATTTCTCTTATAGACAGAAATAATACATAAAGACTTACAATGTAACAAGGACTGTAGCTCATTTCTTGAGTGAACAGTCGGCAAACTTATTGGTTTGTGGTTTGTATATAACAAAGATAAATCCCTCAATTTAGATTTTCTTAAACCTGACCAGGATGTAAATTGCAAAGTCACGCTAACAAAATTAGTACATGAGTAATAAATGTTTCTAGTAGCACTTTAAACTAAATTTGTGTATTTTCATCTAATGGTATACTAATAAAATCACCAGGATCTCCACCAATTAGACTTTTTATAATGATATTTTAATGGTACACGATAACTTCAAAGTAAACATTCCAAAAAACCACGCACATGAAACGGGGTTCGTCAACGATATTTTGAAGGGGTAATAAAAGGCCTGTTTAGTAGTTTTATTTCTTCAGTAAGTTTGTTAAAAAGCAATATAGTTTGTTGAAATCTGCAATGCAATGGATAGAAATTAAATGTATTTGATGGCTTGTGTAATGGGGTAGAACTATAGGTACGAATAATTGCCCGAAATCCGATGTTCTATTTTAAAAAATAAATTACTTTCATTCAATTCCAACATTTTCTTGTCGATTAACCAACAGGAACATTCTTTGTCAATAATCGAGAAGCATTTTAGATACATGATCTGGAATTTTAAATATCACCGACAACTATCAAAACTGTTACAATTAGTGTAAAGTCACGTTAGATAATATCTGTATTGATACTCAAACCTTATTAAACAAAGATATTTCTCAAAATTTACATTTTGATAAAAAAAAAAAACATCTTTTTAGATTGTTTTTTTAATTAACATTTAGCGTATTTACCCATGCACATGCCAAACATTCACCATATATATTCGCACTCGATACCCAAACTTTGACCCGGAAGGAAAGTCCTGCAGAATACCTTAGCAGCAGTGGACTGATACATCCCATAACAGAAATACATGTCAATAAAAAAAACTGTTAAATAATAATATCTAAGTGAAAAGATCGTTCTGAAAATGGTAATAGGACGGTTCCCGAGCGAATGGATTTCGGACAGTCAGCATCTCTCTCGGGGAAAATCTTGATACCTTGTTGATATAGTATAAAGAAGTTTATTTATTTAATATACTTTTTATTCATTTATTTTCAATAACGGGTAGTGATAATTATTTGGGTCGAACCCAAACTTAACCTATTATTTGTCAACACGACAGCTCATTTTTATCTAACGTGACAAAGATTTGCGTTAACTGAAAGATAGCGGTTGAAGGGAGGTAACCCAGATTGAATCTTGGCTTAAACGCGACAAAAATCAAACGGATAGAAAATTGTGAAATGTAAAATAACGCAAAGTGGAAATTCCAAAGTAATAACAATGTTCTCACATTTCGTCTTATTTACTCTTTGAATGATACTTTTTATTTACCATTCGCATCATTTACGAAATTGGAAAAAAAACATACGAAAAAAAGTGAATGAAATATCAACTGTTAATAACGAAATCGGAAGCAAATTCAATCACTCGTATGTATTTTATCATCCTTAAATGATGGATGCTGTAATGGAGATTGTATTTCTTAATTACTCACTTACATGGGGTAAGAATAGTCCCAGGATATCCGAGGACAACACCATTTGAAAATTTTATTAGAATCTGAAATAGTTTCGTCATGTAACAGAGCAACAATTGTTTGGGGGGTTTTGAGGGGGGTGATTTTATTTTATTAACGCACCAGGGCATTATCACTCATTTTATTTCCGGTTTTAAGCAGATGGACAAAAAATATATTATTTGTTTATATCATAAACACTGATGTGCATTCTGTGTCATTAGATTCCCTTAAACATAAAATTAAACAATCCCGTCACGGCAATAGCATAATAAAATATATTGCCTGTAACTGAGCTAGATCAGGTTATCTCAGTCGAGCGCTACGATTCTGTAATATAATCCCAACCGAGGCGTAAGCCGAGGCTTTGATGTTACAGAATCTTAGCCCGAGACTGAGATAACCTGATCTCGCTCAGTTACCGGTAATATATTTTTTTTCTCGTACCTTTTAGTTCGAAAAAAAACTATTCAATTGTGCTAAATACTTCAAGTATCCCGTCTGTGGCCTCAACTTGATTTGGCATGTACACTACAAAAGCTACATTTGAATGCTTCCGCGTCTAGTTCATCTTTACAACGAAGACAACGTATTCACAGTGTAAAGTATATTTTATCTACAGCATCAGGTACCTAATTACATAATGTACATCAAAACAAAACATATAATGACAAAACAGAATATGTATCATACGGATTGTCAATTTTTAGCCGTTTACGCGCGGATGAATACGTCGCTGTGTAAAAATTCCGCGAAATGTCACGTAAAGGTAACAGACAGATCGGACGAGATAGAAAAATCTAGCATGGGGTATGACGTGGGAAATCTCTGTCTGAGGTGCGAGAAAAGAAAATCTGGAATGCCAAATTGAAATTCTTCAATACGCAAGCACCAAATATTACCGTAAGGATTCCTTTCCAACTTCATTTGTCTGGGTTTTTTAAATACAGTGACCCAACCCCCAAACTTAATTTTGATCTGGATAAAACTATAGCACAGTTGGCCCGTGATACTTCAGTTTTCCAAGAACATTGTAACTCAGTCAGTTTGAGAGACCGTATTTGAAGTCGAGGGTTCGAGTTTTTGTATTGCCTGATGGGTTTTTTCACCGAGAACCCTATTGCATTGGTTTGGTTTGGTTTTATTTGGTTAACGAACTATTAACACCTAAGGTCATTTCAGCATTTTAATTTTGCCTACCTTAAATGGACCCATTGGACCTTCTAGCCAATCAAAATCAAGGTTACATCCGGCATGGCATGGTGTGAAATAGATTGATCCGTCTATTCCACAAACCGGATCGTACATCATGGCGGAACATCCGCATCCGGCATTACACTGGCTTTGTAGTTCTGGCTTGCTCGAAAGCTGCCTTAAAATGTTACAGAGTGTTTTAATACATTACTTCCTTAAATATACACATGTTCATGTTATTTCCCATCGGCATTCAATATGAGTAATTATTTCAAATTATAGCAAACTTGATATTTATCATTGCGAATATTAACCCTTAAGGACCCACATTTGGCCGTTTATGTTACAGGGTTGGTTTGGTTTGGTTTAGTATTGTTTAACGTCCAATCAACAGCTACGGTCATTTAAGGACGGCCTCCCCTGTATACAAGATGCATGCGAGCGTGTTTTGGAAAGCTGCGATATGTTCATATTTGTCTCCTTGTGATGTTTTGAAATTGAGTCATTACTTTTACTGTTTTCTAGATATTTGACAAAGCAAAAGCAAAAGTAAATAGGGAAAGGTCTTACCCGTGGGAGGTATACTCTGTTGTCACCCCAGCTATATGCTGTGACGGACAGCCAATCAGAAACAGACAACCCATTACAGCAGCAGCCACAGCAGATATCAGATTCATCCTGATGATGCCCTTACATTTAAGTTTGAGCTTCTTGACCAGATATCCTCCCAGGAACATGCCACCTCCCGCTCCAGGCACCGTTATGATACCTGTTGGCATATACTAGCAATACAATATCTTAACAAAATAGGACACAACCATGTTGCATGTCTGCGAGGTCATGTATAACGATCTGGGAATCAAATATATTAAGCCCTAGTCTCGAATAAATCCCTCCGTCTTTCAATTAGTTATAATTCTATTGTCTGTAAATACGAAGGAATTGTGCAGTTAAGGAAAATGCGTCCATCACGGAAACACATTACGAGCAAATTATATAGTAGATAATTAAATGTTGTACTTTTGGAAAGGCCCTGCAAGTATTTGTTGTATTTAAGTATAATTATACATGTTGTATCTATAAAATGTATCAGTTTACGATCAATAATGAATTACGAATTACGAATCATGTCATTGTGTGATAAATGGATGCTGACGAAGGAAAGAATATTCCCGGATTTTGTTGGACGAATGGGACAGATAAAAGATCTAGTTTATTATTCGTTTCAATACAAATAGTGATTGTATTGCGTTTGTGTGGATCTAGTTAAGCGAAATGTGAGGTAAAACTAGACTAGCAGGAACAAGGATAATTGTTTTTATCGATACACCGGGGCCAACAGACATGAAAACCCAACAAATAAATCGCGGATGCTTTTAAGCCATTTAAAAGTTTTTGTCCCCAGACAGGGACATACAATGTACCAAAGTCCTAAAGAATAGTATTTCTTATTCCTTGCTTAACGTTCAGCATTTAGGGTAATTACAGCAACTGGTTCATCCGTTGTCAGTATAATGTGACCGGGTGGTATAATGTGCTGGGTGCCTTCGGCATTGTATTTCAGTAACATAGTACTATGAAGTCGACATCAGATTCGGGTTATGCATACACACATGCACGCTAACACAACACACATGGAGACACGTCCTTAAATGACCTTAACTGTTAATAGGACGTTTAACAAAACAAAACAAAAGGGTTTGTTTAAAATATATTTTTTTAACAATGTCTAAACACTGAAATATAAGTTTTAACAGAAGCATGACTTACCCATGATAAAGCTCGCTAACGCAGCTGGTAGGTTAAATTTTTCCTGCATAAATTTTGGACCAAACGCTGCCGTACCGCTCACAATGAGGCCCTCAGTGCACGTGCCGATCGCGAGGAAGAAAAATGTCGGGTTCAATATCTGTAAAATGAAAATTAAAAAAATGGTTTAGGTCAAAACACCTTCACAACGATTTTTTTCCATCGATATTTTCTGATTGAATATAACCATACAAGCTAGAACACACAAAACAAAATATCACAGAGACGAAGTCAAACGTCGAAAGCAGAAAACAAAACACCGATATTAACTAACCGTGTCATGAAGAGTCACATAAATAACGAACAATACACGTACAATTCGAACACTATTGAAAGAGCAGAAAATGCATTCACGCTCATGGTCACACCCTTACATAGTGACACACACATGCACATGTACAGACACACACATAAAAGAATAATAATAGTACAATTACAGTCATTATACGGTGATAATTATGATGATAGACAGTATAACACTCATCATACATTAAACCACATAAATGTCTATATATGATCAGTTTATTTTACAAACAACCGGTAATTGAAAACTTCTTATGCAAGCTTTTGAAAATTTTCTTTTGTCAAGTATAATGCTTGTCTTCACCAAGTGTTAAATCATATAGATTTCTAATGCTTTATCCAGCAAAAACGTTTTACTTGACCAAGAGAAACAGACGTTTTCGCAATTCGTGAAATAAGTTTTCAATTACTCTCTGAATTCAAAACAAAACTAGCATACATTATTCATACCAAACGATGAATCTTATTCTCAATATTAGCATAAACTTCATTTTTCTTTCTTCACAGGTAACAATAACATGACATTGTAAAAACAACTTCAAAAAGAAAACAAAAAAGTATCCACGTATCATAACAGAGGCAGCAACTCATCTTGTCTTAATATTAAAGTAATGGATACGGTTTTCCTAAAAGCAAATCAGGTCTAGTGTTTTGCATCGTAGTTAATTTAGTAAAAATATAATAAAGGAACCTCCGCATAAACCGACTTCCGGTCCGTAAAAAATATCAAGCTTATTTGCAGCACAATACGTTGCATTTGAACATTCCACGGCAAAAAACACACATAACCTACCAGATTCTTCATTGCCAACGGGAAGGCTTTCCAGTCTTTCCCGAATTTGTCGTCAGCCATCTTTTCTCCCTTATAGGCCTCAGATTTCCGATCTGCTTGTAGCTTGGAACTTCCTGAAGAAATAATCAAGTTTCACCTATAGGAACAGATTTATGTAATATCAACGAGCAGGGCACACGCGAAATACATGTACATACACTTGGCTTCGGGTTTTGCGGCGTAAGTTACTTTTATCTATGTTTAATTTAAATTTCGGAACTTTACACAATCCCACCAAACTTCGGATAAACAACATATTGACCTACAGTAGCATTGACCCACTTCATATTTTTCTCCGCTGCTTCCAATTGTACTAAATCAAGGCCCCTTCTCAAAAGAGTATTTCCAGTACCAAGGACAAGCGAAGGGCAACAATCTGGGACGGATATACTGACATGGCCAGGTGAATCCGGACTTTGTAGTTTCTGTTCCCCTTTATATATTACATAGCTATTCGGCGATGTTCCGGCATGAGGTTACCGATCGATTTGTTTGTAATCCTTGATTCTACGACACTTTCATTTCATTTATGCATAGTTATAAACATTTCATACGTTTCTTCGTTGTTCCTACATCCTCATATTAATACACGTACATGATATATACTTAAATAAAGTTCATATGATTTTCACATTTTTGTTGTGTATATTCTTTCGAGTTATAGAAATATTTGTTGTATTTATATTCGTGGTTATATAGCAAAACAGCGAAAACAACGAAAGTTTAGTCATAACGAACTTTTCATGTGATACAGTAGAATACGGCATTTACGTTTTGCTACAAAAATATACATGTTGTTATTAGGGAAATTGTGTAATTTTTAAAGCATACAGTTAACATTTACAAATAGTAGAATAGAAGAAACATATTTACCGGGTAGCCGTTTGGGATAGGCACACATCGGGAAAACCACAATGCACATAACGGTTCCACTGACGAGGAAGCTAAGCCACCACGCCCCCACCCAGCGGGGATCGATAGGCGAGAGACCAATACTAGTGACAGAAACAAAATAACCTTAAAATATGGTGTCTTAGCTATTTCCTCTTTACGTATTGCAGAGTTATCTTCTCTTGTAAGCAGGTATTGATTGTTACGTCATTAGATTGTGTGAGAAAATAACGTCGTTTTCTGAAAAATGTATGACGTTACTCTCACAAACAAATGACGTAACAGTCAATACCTGCTCACAAGAGCAGGTAACTCGTCAATACGAAAAGTCGGAATATCACAGTTATAAGAACGCTTGCCCAAATAGCAACTTTTGCGTTTTAGAAACAGTATGTGGTAATGCAATACAATATGAAAAGTTGTTTATTTCTACATGTGCAATGTAAAACTTTGCATAAACTGTAAGATGGTTAACCTTACATTATCTCATATCCATTTAATCTCTGTAAATATGATGTCGTTCCTACCGGTATTAACAAAATAACCTACAGTAAAACATCTTGCATTAACGAATACATATTGTATTAAATGGCTAAAATTGACGTTTACAATTACAGACGTTTTCGAAAGCTCGCAAAAGCCTTAATTCATACAAAACTGATGAATCTTATTCCGTATGTTATATTTAATGTTTTATTATGTGTACAAAAAGCCATTACGGCGCAAATTCCTAAAACAATTGTACTAAATGCTCTAAAATTAGTTACATCGAGAAAGAAAAAAGAATTCCATTATTTTCAATATGAATCGGTATCTAAAGATTAAATCTCTTATACTTTTTAGGATCAACTACATGAAAATCTGTAAACAGGTTCAACGTCTGACCACCAAGCATATAACCTGCCGCCACTCCAATAGACGCAGCCGCGTATACGATTCCTAGGAAATAACAATACAAACACGTCATCTATTGTTATAGTTGTATTGCCATGAACACAAATATGAAATACATAATTTTAGAAGAAGGAAAAACAACGAAATTTTGTATTTTTGTACGATTTGTTTTACCGTTAAAATACTTCTTGCTGTGCGCCTTTGTTTACAACCGTCCGAGTGTCTTCTTTCGGCACATACATGTACATTGATGGATTTTTGTTATATATTTATATTTTCATTCATTCATCAATTTTGACTGGGAGTAGGGGGAGGGCGTGTCTACCACATCGAGGCTGTCTTGTGACCCTAGCCTACTCTATTGTGTTTTTGTTTTTTGTTTTATGTTTTGGAAGTCCGTCTAACTATCTTAATAAATTAATCTTACCTAATCTAACCCTATCCTCTGTGCCGGCGTTATCACGCCTACCCTTATTTCCTTAAACTAAAAGGGGCGTTTTTGTAGCTTCGTCCCTGCGCGAACTCGAGAAAAATGAACCCTAATCAGCTATCATAGGTAAGTGACTCATCCAGCAAGAAAATGTATGGACGTTCTATTATAGAACTACTTATTTTTGTCAGTATGTTGTCGGGCGCAATTTATTATTATACAGACAAGTCCCATATCTATGAAGGACTTACCTAAATATAGTGACGTCATCTTTGCTTGTGTATTCTCGTCAATGAACGTCGTTCCCAATGTGAACATGGGCGTAGAACCTGCTCCGTGAAGAGCATTTCCAAGCATGAACAACCATAAATAATTTTGGAGGTCGGAAGACTTTTCTTTTTCGCAGGAACTGGAAGTCGTTCCATTTTGAAATCGGCAAACATTTTCGAAACTGTTTGTGTCTGCATAAAGAAGATAAGGTGTTTTACAAAACTTAAAGAACACGTTTTATCAATATAAAATAATCGTCCTTGTTTGCCCGGATACAAGCGTAAATCACTAAGTTTATTTAAATCACACAGCAGAGAACTTTGACTAAGCTTACCCCTGATATGCCGACACCCTGTCTTATCCAACAAAATGTTAAAGTCCCTTTTCTAATACGTTAATCAATATGATTTCAGTAAGCGTGCATACTGTCTAATCTGATAGATATATTGTGCCCCATGGTTTGTCAGCTTAGGCAGGTTACCTGTACCAGGGACGTATAGTGAAGTATATACTGTCCCTGCCTGTACTGTCTATTAGAGACTGATATGAATAATACATCTTTTTTACCTTCAGTGCCGACACTGTATCTTTCCGTCATGAAATGGGGCAACGAAAACACAAATGACCCCAATCCCAAGGTCAGAATTCCAATTCCAATAATTTTTGGTTTGTGACGGTGGCTACCATAGTAGCTGATTACAAGCACCAAAAAGCAAGCAAAAAAGTCATTGGAGCTTACAATGAGCCCCGACTTGGAGCTTGGGAGCTCAAATCTTTTCTCCAAAGTACTTATAATGGCATTTATTACTCCGTTAACTATAAAACCCTGGAATAAACTGAAGACACAGGCCCAGAACACAAACCAGCGAATAGTGTTAAAACGCTGCAGCCACCTACAACAAATACAAGATAACGTCTATTAATTGATTACACTACATGCATTATACATTTATTACAAAGAAGCGTTATACTCCATGTTAAGCAAACGTGTTTAAACTTTCAGGCGAATCTAAGGGCTCAGGCTCATCTTATCGTTCCGGTGATACAAACTTACAAATTCCCTTTTTTTGTCTTTGAGGGAATTTTGGAGACACTTCAAGCAGAATACTATTCCCATTGTCAAACACTCTACTTACTGTCTGATACATGCTTTCACGGAGTTACGAAAAAAAGGCTTTAACACAAAACCATTATTTTTACAAGTTAATCATTTCAAGTATGCGAAACTATCCTTTTTTTGTATGAATTTAATTTCCTTGAAAAATTAACTTATTACTATCTTAAGTTATTAACAAGAACATTGTTATTCTTAATGCAAACAACGGAAGGGGCGTTATCGGGATGTCGTAACCGGTTGATCATGGTACAATTAACGAGTCAGATCGCTTGATGTACAACACGACTTTAGAAATTCAAAGACCAGTTACGTTTTCAGTTCAAATTTTAGCTCCAATTCTATTAATAAATTGCCCACTAATTTTCAGTTTACTGCAAATACTAATTCCGAAAGAACTCGCCAATAAGTCGTTTGACACACAATCACCTAGATAACTTATCTAAAATTTAACAGATTTGCAGTAAGGTCATATATTATAAGTCAATAAATAGATAAAACTAATACACATCTTAAGAGAAATGAACAGGTTTGCAGTAAATCCAAGAATTCCTAAACTGGCAAAAGAAAGTAAAATCGTTATACAAAATGTAATATTATGCAAGAATTTGTTTAAGGTAGTAAGAGTTACCTCCCCTATGCCAGTAATAATGAATATATTTCCAATGAAAATAGATGTAATAAAAAGGTGCTGTTTTGATCGATTGTTTTAATTTCGGACCAGGAGGGTTCTATGTTGAATGAAGTGTGTTACTTGCCCTCTCTAGAACCACAGAGCTTCAGATATATTGCCATTTCTGCCCCCGCCCCATCCCGTCATAGATTTCGGGTAATTGACTATGATAGCATGTAGATACACTGTACTATTTTTATTGATATTTATCGATAAAAAAACAGACTGAGGGTTCCATTATCATCGGCAACTTTCTTACCCGGGTGTCCAGTTACCCCATCCAAATCGAAGATTATTTTTTTCCCATTCTTCATCTCGTTTGATATCGTCATTTTCGTCATCTTCTAAAGTCCGCTGATTTTCTTGTTTTCCATTAACACTTAGTGCCATACTCACGGCTGCAAGGTGAAAATAAATGGTGGTATATTTATTTTCTAACCGTTGGGTTGTTTTTTGTATTAGTTGGTCCGGTATAGTACATTTCTTTCAACAATGCGTATTAAATATGACGTACAAATAAAATTGATGTGTAGGGTTAGATCTGAAGTTGAGGCAAGGTTGAATAAATTATGTAGAATCGTTGATTTGGATAAAAAATAAACCTTCAATATTTGTATATCGATAACGAAATAAGTTGTTGACTCGGAAGCAAGCGTGCAGGAGGTTTGAACTTATCACGTCTGATCGGGGAATCGAACCCTTGCCGTCTTGTTGAAAGGCGAATGCACTATCAACTGCGCCACCGTCAATCCTATTTAGATCACGTCTCTTGTCTATAAAATGATGTGAAAGACTCGTATTTGACTATTATTACAACGTTTTTATTGGTACAAAATGTATGTATTTCTAATCGTCAATGACGTTTTTCGACATCCATGTTTATATTAACTAAACTCAAATGAAAAGTGCGTGTTTTCCCCGGCTACTCCGGTTTCCCCCCACACTAAGACCCCCGCGCTATAATATATGGGCCAACAAGAGTGATTNAGTTAAAATACTTGTTTTATAATTATTGTAAATGAATAAAATTTATATGTGAAGTTTAATTAGTTTTGTGCCATAGCGACAATCTTTGTGACGTGGTAATCTACTGTGATCAATAGGTTATATGCATTAAACAGTAGAACGTGCAGGACCGGTCACCAATCAGGGGATGGTGTCCAAATAACCTGGGCTGTTTTATAACGGAAAAAAGAGAGTAAATGCATGTGTTTTAAAATGCCACCAAATTAAATGCCCTCTACCCCTTACTCTGCACCAGCTCCAAACCCCACCCCCTTATCCATATCCGACACTACACGATAGTGACAATAAAGGGATGAGTGTTCATTAGAATCTCACTAAGAGCTTTAAAAGCTAATTTCGGGAGGTGGCTAAATTCCACCCAATTAAATGCACCCCTCTTTAAACCACCCCGCCCCTTCACCCCTTACTCTACACCAGCTCCAAACCCCACCCACTTAAATCCATATCCGACATTACACGATAGTGAAAAGAAAGGGACGAGTGTTCATTAGTATCATACTAAGAATTTTAGTAAACACAACAGAAATATTATGAATAGATAGCTCGGTCCTATACTGATAACACCAGCCAGTACGGTCGTTGTGACTTCCTAGCGTCCATAAGACGATAAGGTGACACGTGACGCTTTCAAATAATAGCATACCAGTGAATTGTATATTTGTTAATACACATGTACGTGTATCTCGTCAAAATACAGCCGAGTATTGTAGTAAAACATTTAAAACGCGATTTTTGATACTCTACAGCCAATACGCAATAAAATAATATAATTCTTGAATAATGCATGGTTAAGTGTACCAGAAATTTGAATGGTAATATAACAATGACTTATTTTTGTCCAATTCGTTATTATTATTTATTTTTCTGGCTTAAATGTACAGTCTTATACGGTAATGATATGGTACTGTATGCCTTCCTAGAACTTTTCATTAAATAAAGTAGGTAAAAACTTGCTCCAGATCTGATTAATACAACTTCTGCTATCAGGTTTATGATTTCATTGGACTTTTCTTTCATGCGTATGGGGGGTCGTGACCTGCATTTTGAGTACGACTAGAGGGACAATTCTTAAACAGAATCCAAGAGATGTATATATGCTTGCATGGCTATTGGTTGATTGGTAATTATGGGCGGATTGGTCGAGTGGCTAATATTTTTGTCATGTTCATAGAAGAGAGCGTCGTGACAACACTTTTCACTGAATAAAATGTAAACAAATGAGTCTTATGAAGTTCTTGCCTCTTTATAATAGCAAATATATTTCACGAGTGAGGCTTACATTTTGATATTTTTCACGAGTGCGCAGCCAAAAAATGGCGAAAAGGTATATTATGTTTAGAATGAGTTTTCCTAAAGAGGCAAGAACTTCATAAGACTCATTTGTTTACATTTTATTCAGTGAAAAGTGTTGTCACGACGCTCTCTCCTATGAACATGACAAAAATATGTACAGAATATTATCGATTTAGTCGTTTATTTCCTGACACAGTATTTGCCCCTGAGTGATAGAGAGAAAATAACAAAAAATCATCAAAAAGTAGTAACCATTGTATTTAGAAGTACTGAACAAAAAATAAATAAGCTGTAGCCATTATAGAAATAAAACAGTTCGCTTACCTAGCTGCTGTCCGACCAGAATTTGACACTTGAAGTGACTGCGTGGTCAGTGTGGTCAAATCGTGGCCGATAGATCGGCTAGACCGGCATACTGATATCTCCTTCGTCAACAGGTTTTTCGCGTGAGACATCATAGTTGATGAAGACAGGTGCACATATTTCACAGATACGTGGCCAGTTTATCAGACAGGTGAAAGATAGAAATTATCTTTTCATCTGAATTCAGGGCCGATTGTAGCATTAAAATATGAATGATTCTCCAACTACATGTAAAGACTTTCTGTAAACTTTTTGATTTAGGTTTAGTTACAAGATTGATTTACTAATTAAAGAAAAGCCTTGTAAGGACGTATAACAGATCATTTTGCATGCATTTTAAGGGTTGCTTTTATAATGTATTCAAAACATCTAAGTACATCTGTATCTTTAAATCCACATTTAAAGTATAGAGGATATCGTTTTATATAAATCAGATATCTTTTATAATGTATCTTGTATACATTTATTGAATATGATATCGAGGTGGCTTACTAAATGAACTTTAAGTTGGTTTGCAATATTTCGTGTTCTGTAGATAAAAGGTCACTGATATATCCAAAAACTACAAAATAGAATTAAATAACAGGGGACCTAGTTCGGCTCCTTGCTGAAAATGTTACGGTGTTACTGTATTATGAATTAAGTAACGGAATTAAACTGAAGCAAGCTGTGGCTGTAATTTTTCATTATTGTCATTTTACGTTACAGAACCTCTTAATTTACAAAGTCAAATGTATTTTAAGAAAAGCTATACCGATAAATTGATCGTTGCCATCCAGTTGCCCCATTGATCTGTAAATTTCATCAAAGCTGTGAAACAGGGAAGATATTCTCTTAAACCCAACTAAAGTCAGCAGGAACTGGTATTAAAATTTATTTGATATCAAATTGCATTTGTGTTTCCATTTACTTATTAGGTGTGGTATATCTTAGTACAATAATCAACTTACTTATATAGCACTATCTCAACGTAAGCACATCAATATCAGCAATAATTTCTTATTAGGTGTATTTCGAACATATCATAAACTTCTGAAAAGTACAAATAACATTTCAGAAGGCGCGATATTGGTCGAATATTTATTTACCGAAGCGAGATAAACGGTAACGCTATTACTACACTATCAGCTAACTAAATAATGAAAATTGTGATACCAAGATCACAGGCACGCCTTGCTACATGTATAACGTTATCTCGGGCCGCTTTCGTTCATCGCGATCCCAATGGGTGAACTTTTTGCACCAGAGTTGTTCGTTTATGAAATAATGTCGGACCTAATATTCCAACGCTGCTTTCAGACGATCCTTGACAAAGCCTTAAAAGGCTTGCATAAACATTTGCAGGTCCGCCAATATTTATATCCGAAAATGTTTCATTTAGACATTAACGAGAGGCTTAACAAGTTGAACGAACAAGTGGCCATGGACCTTTTCATTTATGCTGAACAACCAGTTGGTAGCTTACGAAATAATCCTATGTAAACTGGAACCCTATAAAGATCGGTCTCTGGAGAAGTATGAAATTAACAATACCGGGAGGCGTCTCGAAGAGCAATTCACTTGCATGATTTGTTGGAACATAACACACGCACACTTTCTATTGGCCAAAAAAAGGACGGTAATTAACCAATTAAAACTGTCGTTACATCGCGAATATCTTAGAACTACCTATGAATCTCTTATGATAACATTTTACATTTGTATTACACTTTCAGATTTATTCCACCAAAAAAATATTTCATTAATTGAACTCATTGTGATATATTTTTTATCACAATCACAACGCTGGATAAGCCACTGGTTTGATTGACCAACTGAATTAAGTGGTTGTTTTGGTTTCCGTAAACGGTGATATGAACAGAATAATTGTTCATTATTTTAGTGAAGAATCTGTCGTGTAAGACTAAACGTTGTTGGCAAGAACAGCCAAGAAAAAAAGTTGCAACTAAATCAGCTCGTAATACACAAGCTAGAGATAAAGACAGTTTTTTACATACACTTAAATTTAAACAAACAAATAACACTACATAGGGCATTATATAATACGCACATAACATTTACACGCTAGAAAAAAACATTTCTTTGTTGGAAGTTCCAAAGCTGTTTTTAAGAAGAAACAAATTTCAATTGCCGAAGCTTATCTAATACATTCTATGAAAAATGTCCTAACAATGGGTGTTAATTGCACGAACTATACAACTCTGTCAAATTTTAAAATATGCATGAATAGGAAGGAACAGGATTAATCTCTCTGTTATTCTTCATGTTTTTTCTCTGAATAAAACAGAACAAAATCAATGATTAATTCAACGGAATTAAACGTCCAGACGTATCAACGTATGTTCAAGCATGACAGAAGCATGAACTGCATATGTACAATGTATTGTGGTTTTTAATTGGGTTTTGCGTCTAAAATGTTGTATTATTTTTCAAATCGACGACATTCGATTTCCTGTACGACAAACCAAATTCTGCAGCCGTCAAAACTCCCTGGCAATACGTTAGATTCATACAACTTCATACCTGTAGTTGGGTCGATGCCGGTATTTGATAAGTTGAAATAAATATGGCAAACTATTGATTTTGTAGCTTGTTCACAGTCCCATAGGCATCCGGAGGACTTGCTTTTCGTTCAAGAATACGCCGACATGTTTCTCTATCAATAGTTGGTGTAATCACGTTTACTTTGCAATATTATGCACGTATCATGTTTGTACACAGTTGAAATATGGCAATAAATAGAGTTCAAACGAATGCTGAGTTTGTTGTCTTCCTTGTTGAATGGACTCAAGATATGCGCATCGGCCATTACGACTGGTACCTTTCCGATATTTACTGGACAATGCATCCGACATCGTTTAGATAAACAACAAAGCACATGCCGGGTTGATGGTCTCCATAGCTGTGTTGTGTCTTGTATATTGAACGCGGTAGTCGAACGTGTTTCAATGAAGCCCAAAGATAGCTTGAAAAAAACGCATTGACTGTCGCATAAATGTCTAAGCTGTGGTTACAGGTTAAGAAAGTCAACACGACAGTCTGTCTGTATCATTTATACAAGTCGGTGTCTCTGTGTGTTCGTTTATAGATCCCTAAGTGTTTTGAATTCTTTTTTCTTGCTTTATGCCCAAAATGATCTTCTTGCGTCGAAGGGCCATTAAGATTTTAACAAATAAGCAAACAAAAACAACGATATGAAAAAGAGACCCAGGGTATTTGGATATGTAGATAATTGTTGATGATATATTAAACATTATTTGTTATGATTTAATAACGAAAGTAACGCTTTTGCTATAATGTAGTACATTTTCTCTAATAAAGGATAATTCCGTTCACGGCGAGGATACAACAAACAGGTGCTACGTTTACCGTGTAAATGTCGACGGTAACTATTTAGGTTAGATTTTGGTCAAGTTTACAATCTGCTATCTTAGACAAGGGTCAAGAGGTGACCATACGGTGACACATGACCGATAAACTATACATGTACTAGCACAGTGCCTATCTCTGTCCCTGGGTAACATTTACAAGGATCTTGGTCAGACACGTGCTTGTCCGATCGTTTTCAAAAACTGAGGTATATAATGTATAGATATATAAGTTGTCTGTTTCTTTTGCATGGTTTTTACTGTAAATAAATATTAATTTCCGCTCATATTCGTTTTCGCATCTCTGCGACAAATATAAGGGAATATTTGAAATTCTATAATAATAAAGATCGTTAAATTTTGTTGGAGATATGTACATGTTTTTGATAGATCTTAATTTGTGAATAAAAACAACTAAAATATATGGAGCTTTATTTAAAATAAAACAAAGGTAATTGCCTTTTAAAATTCAAATGGGGTTTAATGTCTTATATCCTACGTGCATATCCATATTTCCATATTCAGAAGATAAATAACGCGAAAGAATAATTCCTTACAAAATAAAGTGCATGGCCATGTTACCCCAACTATATTTTATCTTTTTTGTTTATGACCATTGTGAACCCGTGATATATTTAAGTTTTATCACATTATCGGCCTGTTATCCAGTGAATTCGCACGTGTAATATTTTTACATATGTCACTAGTGTAATATACCCTGGAGTGTTTTTTCATTGGCTGTGCCAGTCAGAAATCGATTGTGACGTCATAATATGGACAATGACGTGACGTCATAAATTGTGAATGGTGTAACAAAATGGCTGTCCCCGATTGATTTGGCTTTAAAACCTGTCAAAATGCAAGTTTTCTGAGTTATGTGATAAAAAGTATCTTAAATTTGTTTTCATTTCATATGAGCTTTTATGAAACTCTTCTCGAAGTTTTGATTTTTGCTCGCCAAGGCTCGCAAAAATAAAAAGAGTCGTTTCATAAAATCTCATATGAAATGAAAACTCATTTAAGATCCTATATATACTCAGGTCAAGATTATTTTTATTTTTTGGTAGTTGTAGCATCTTTATGATATTCTGTTTCCTCAATCTATTGTTAATCAATGTACTATTGTAATCAAAGACTTTGACGGCTATATGTTTTTCGTATGTAGACAACTTATCGAACAAACCGTACATGTATTTGTTATAGTCACGGTATACCGTAACGTATGTAGTGCAGGTAGTACAGGTGTACTAGTGTCCGGATATGAGGCCAAGGTGACACAGGTAGCCGCGTGAGGCGGGACGGGTAACGTGTAACTGCACGAGTTACAGGGGCGACACGGTATTTTAGAGTATTAAAGGTAGTTTGAGGGTAACATAGTCATTCGAGTATTGACGGTTCATCAACTCACTTCAAGAAATTATATTTTCTTTTGTTAAATCATAGAATTATGGAATTTCCCCGTTTTCCTTGAGACAGGCATGAACTTCAGGGATGATGCCGAGAAGGGAATTCCTAGCGTCGGCCAGGATCCGGATTCAGGAGAAAGGGAGAAGAGAAGAAAGATCGGGCACGGCCCTTATATTTCATGTACATTGTTCCTGTAATAAAATGGTTGACCGTCGAAGGCCACTCCCATACATAGGTGTTGAGTTTTATATGATACATGCTTTATGTTCGGTTGAACGTAGTGAATTAGAAGCATAATGGTACTATAGGATGTCAGCATGTTTAACTATATATAGGCTTATTGAACAGAGCACTGCTATCTTTAACGAAATAATTAATGTGGTATTTTGGTGAGGACGTGAATAGTATACAGTGAGGTTGCATTCGGTTTCGTTCCATTTATTTATTTTGCATTTGGTTCTATGAAGTGTTTTTTTTTGTTAATTCCTTGACTTTGGTGTTTGTCCATTTTGATGAAATTCGGCAAACTACTCATATTACCCTTCACTTTTATATAACTTTTTATTTCTTAGAATTTTAGCCATGATTAGTTTCATGTAATTGGCCAAAACACTTTTTTTACGGCAAAATTTGACAATGTGCCTAAATAAAAAGGTAAAACTGTGTAAAAGATGTTTAAATGCATCAAAAATCAAACGAATTGGTTGTGAAATATATCATCTTTTATTGTTAAGATTATTTGATTTGCACTTATCACATTTTGAATGTACCGAATCAAATTCTACTTCTCTTTAATAAGATTGTCATGTGAATTATTTTTCTTCGAGTTTACTGCCCTTTCCTAATGGTTCCCAAAATTTAAACAAAAAAAGTCCAAATTGTCGATTTGCCATGTTCTTCACCCAATATGACGTTCCATATATTGCAATTTAAACAGCAAAGACACAAATATTTTTTGGGATTCATGAACACGAATTGTCAATATTCACCCGATCGATATTTTCACTCCTGCGTGCCAAATTCATAAAACGTGACAAATAGTAAATTCATCATTCAGAAAAGCGTTTGAAATTGTTGTCAAGTAGGTATTTAATACATTTAGCTCAAAACAATTTAAAATCGACAGTGCAAAATATTTTTTTCTAATTCTTGATTTTTCGTGTTTATATAATTTTTCGGTGATTTTTTCGTCATAAATGCAGTTCAAATTGATCAATGTTTTATTTTTTCATACCACCGAAAATAAGCTCGAGACTGTATTACATATTAACTCAACTATGACATTATGTTACAAATCAATGGACTAACGCATTGCTTCGACTGTTACTCCTGTAGTTGAAACTTTTACGGTCCCAGATGGATCTTAAAGCCCACTGTCGTAAGGTTTTCATAAGATATCTGTAAGTTTGATATTTCCCTCTCATTTCTCTTCTTTTCTCTTATCTGCTGTATTTACAGTCTTGTCAATAGTGAATGCATCTTGTATAGAAGTAACCGTTTGTTAGAATTTAAAATCGATTGAGAAGTTTCTTTCATAATGAGTTCATCGTTTATTTCCTGATAATTATCAATAACCAACTTGAACTCCAAAACGCAGGATTGCTGCTCAAAAGCAAACATGCACATCTACTGACAAATGGGAACATACATATTTAATTTGAGAAAGATCCGTTTCGGACATCTTGAGCATTAGAGATAACAAGAATTGTTAATGAACGAACGGACCACGGACGAAAGGCGATTTCATCAGTTGATCATGGTGGGCTAACACAACGCGTGCAATGTTTCATATTAACCCCTACCTGGATTCATAGTTTGCAAGTGTTTTGGTTTTGTTGCCAGGGTCATAAGAAGATGGACACACGCGAACTGTTGTGGAAATAAAACTACAAGAAATTAAATATTCGCTATAATTTTAATGATATCACATACTTCTACAAAACAAGCATCCATGATACTATTCAAATCATTGCCGTTTACCATATGTCGTCAATTTTCTACAAAATATGATATACAATATTGTTTTATGCAGAATGGTCCAATACACGCAAATTAATAATGGTTTGAATAAAAAACTTAACAAATATATAGGAAATGGCGAAACATTGTTTACGGCAATACTAAATTAAGCTCCTGGTTACATTTATAATTTTATACATGCGATCTTGTGGCACTTGTGCTAGGCGAACTGTTATGTTTTTTACTTTTAAAGAACTTTTTGTACATCTTGCTGTTGAACAGCATATATATTATTGGATTGGCTGCACTGTTGAGAGGAGCGAGACTCTGTATAAACGTGCTGACCGCTATCATCTCATTTGTCCTTGGTATGTGACCGTATACATCCAACAGGTCGTATACAAAATACGGACTCCAGCAAAACACGAACGCTGAAACAAACGAATCGAAAATATCTTGTGATCTATTTAAAAATACTTGGACTGAGGATATCATACATAGGATGAATAAGTTAATTCCTGTTATGAATTACGTTGTTCACATACTTGAGCCACACACAAAAGTTAATTCAATCAAGTTGTAACGAATTCAAGGATCATCGTACAACTGTGAAACAGCAACTATGCACTAAAACAGATTTTGCCGAACATGACTATAGCTTTGATAAATAATTTCTTAACAAAAAACATACCATGCAGCTATGCAATAATGAACACAGGTGTTCTAATAGAAAACACAAAATGCAATGGAACTAGACGGAGATTCCAATCCTAAACTTCCGGATGTTGTAGAAGTGTTCTAACCGACAGCGCTACCTTGTCAACGGAATTGTTTTGACCCTACATTTATATCCATAACGAAATAACTCTATATGAAAAATAACAGCGAAGTTGGACAGGGATTTAATACGATATCTACGATGAAAAAAATATTTCTGATACGAAATTATACCTTATACACGAGCCAATTAGTTTGACAATAAAATGTTAAATACAAATACAAAAAAAAAAAAAAAAAAAATCATGGATTGGAAATTCGATAAGTATTTATTCAAACAGCCACATTTTATTACTTTAAAACAAAATCTAACAGATTCCTTCAGCAACCAGATTTTAGTAAAGTCGTAGTGAAAAAAAAAGCGTTTGACGAAAATTCTCCTAACAAATTAATAGCTATATAAATCATAAATGGGTTATCTCTCTTGACATTCTCATTAATGGTATACAAATTCTCTCTCAATGATCATACGGGTAATCTATACTGCTATTATAATGATATGACCCCTAGGAGACATTGATTTACATACGTCTCTGAATGAAACAAACTATGATAGCATTAATTCTGTTAAGTCTTTTACGGAGTATTCATGAAACCGTTCTTATGCTCAAACGCATATTCTGTGCTCAAGCCAAATTTCTTGTTCCGGTGATAAACAAATTTAAACTTTTATATTTGGTCTATGATTCAGAAGGACTTTGATCTGAATGCTGTTTCAAATGTTACACATATAACTTTCATCTTTCGCATGACATAAGTGAGTTACCAGAAAGTTGGGTTAAGCACAAAATCAATGCTTGAGCATGGGAACGGTTCCATGAATACGGGCCCGGGACTCCATTTCACTGTCGAAGTTCGGAAAATTAAACACAAATATTGAATGTATCTGTGTGTAGAAAACTAAAGATTATTGATAGCTTGATACCACTTACCTAACACTATAACGAAGGTCATCTTGATGGTTTTGATTTTTGCTTTCGGGATAAGACCACGGGAGCTGACGTTGCACTCAGTCCAATGAACCCGCTTTCTCTGGTCAGAAGGGGAGTCGGACGTGGCATCTGTAGTATAACATATATTTCAACATTTAGTTTGTTTTTTAATTTGTAATTTATTAATAAATTCGAAGTAGACTTTCCAATTCATTATTTTTAAGAAAACTCGTAATAAGTTTAAAAACAATAAAGAGAAAATGACCAATAACTAGAAATAGTGTGGAAACATTAAAAGAGTATAGAAAAGAGTTCAAGCAAAAATGTATTCCACATGTACTTAATTACTGACTAACGGAGAAGAAATATTCGCGTTTTTCGTACTGAGTTCGAAAGAACTTCTTCACTGCAAACTTTGTAATAAAGAGTCACAACACAAATACTTCTACACTCGAACATTACACTTTTTCAGTTTAATATTTTTAAATTTACCAAATGTGTAAAGTTGATTCATAATCGTTAACCTAATGTACACAACGATGGCTTCGTAAGATAATAAAAGAGCAGTTACTCATAAATTACGTTGTATATTCGACTTTTCCTACAGCATACCTTTTTATAGTTACTCGATAAATATTAAGACTGATTTCACAAGCCACGTTTTAGTAGTCAACTTAAGCAATATTTTATTGGAAAGCTTTTTGAACGTAAGCCCTCACAGCCAATATATATATTGGACAAGCTTCGTTTAAAATGTTTTGCGGGCTCGTAGAACTTAGGAGAAAACCTCTATCTTGATGGGTTTTTTCGCAGAAACTTATAAACAAGCCAACTCCAGCAAATCATATGCAAGATGAGCAATTGTCGAAAACAGAATAATCTTTGCTTTCAGTGTCTAAACGTTCACCTAAGTTACGGAGCAGCAGACAGCTACTTATAAGAGGTCCCATTTCGGTCTCGTTAAAATTGGTGAAAAGTAATTGCGCAATTAGTACGGGGCAAATAAACGAGCATTCACAGACACCTCATGCAATGCGAATGATTCGACAAATATTAGAATTTTAAGTGCCTGAAGCTTGATTTCACGGAAATAGTCTCTTGAAATCAATGTTCATTTGCTTTTGTTGATTTGGTTTTTGTTTTATTTTGTTTATTGTCTAATGAACAGCTAAGGTCATTGCAGGACGGGCCTCAAAGTGTTGAATGTATGCGTGTTTGTGTGAACGTGTGCTGTAGACAGGGTATGTTGGTACTGTTCCCTCCTTACGATGTGCAGATATGTTTCCGACTTGAGAGTGTTACTGAAATAACATGCCAAAGGCACCCAAGCACAGTATTCCTCCCAAATCAAACTATATTGGCAACGGTTAATGGAGTTATAGCGATTACTATAAATGCCTAACGTTAACTAGGGAGTAAACTACTATTATTTTGTTTTAGATTTGTGGTATGTCGTGGCCTAGTTCGAATTATTCTGACGTTTTATCGACTTTCTTTATATCGGTCTGTCGTCGATTAACGTCAGAACTCTGGTCCTCTATAATATGCGGGAAATATGCGTACCGCGCCCGGAGCACACTTCAAACTGATATTTTAGAAACAAATCGTCACTTTCACACACATATCGCACATGGTTCGAAAGATCTATTCTTATGCACTAGGTGATATTAATAACATGTTTCAAAGATCATTACGAAAAGTATTTTCCAACGTTTTCTATACCAGCCCATGTTTTTAATGGAAATTAGGCCATGAGCAATGCCACATGACTTGACGAGATCTCGCGTTAACGAAGGTATTTCCCAACGTTATGACGTAGGCCGGCGAGATTTTAGTCACGTGGCATTAGAAGGCGGGACTATCAAAAAACTAGAGTAAAAACAGTAAGTTTGAAAAAATATGTTTTTAGTGATGGTATTGGTTGTTTGAGGCATGTTATGTATGTTCATCTCGTGCTTAAAGAATAGATCTTTCGATCCGTGTGCGACATGTGTGTGAATGTGACGATTTGTTTCTAAAATATCAGTTTGAAGTGCGCTCCGGGCGCGGTACGCATATTTCCCGCATATTATAGAGGACCAGAGTTCTGACGTTAATCGACGACAGTCCGATATAAAGAAAGTCGATAAAACGTCAGAATAATTCGGACTAGTCGTGGCCTGGAGACGGAACCATTTGCCTTGCTGACTCGGGCAAACGTTCAACACTAAGGCACAAAATAGATATTGCCAAACAAGGCATTAGGAAAGGAAGTTGAGAGGAAATTAAGCTATTCCCAATTTTGGGGGCAGTGGACCAAGTTTGCTCTTAAATGTCCCCTCAAAAGAACAGAAATCCCCCGACTCTGCAGGGGTACCTACATTAAAAACACTATATGCTGTTGAATACAGCAGACCTATCTTTTCCCCGATCACCAAACCTGCATTTTGGGAAAGTGGGTTGATGTACAAGTTTAAAACAAGTTGAATTTATGATACATCTTTTTAGGGAGCCGTTTACAAAACAATTTATATCAACTTAAATATTTTCAGATTTTGCAAATGTCGTAAGATTTTACACTAAATTCATCGATTAAATACCAAGATACTGATATTGAATTTGATTGGTTGATATCCATTTGCTTATTCACAAAACTGATTCCAATCAATTTACACTGCTTTTCGTAGATGTATATATCCCTACTGAAGCTTGTGCAATCCCGACAAACACATATTTCCGCATGTATGATGAAATAATCACATAAACGTTTTCTTCAAAGATACGAGTTACCTTTTGTCACAATGCGCGTTTGCTCGCCACTATTTGCGGCATTGAGAGAGAGACTTGACTTCCGCCAAATGACGATGACGATGAAGATGTAGCAGAAAGCGATAATAACAGCCGGAATAATGAGCAGGAGGATTGCTATCAGCGTAATATATACCTGGAAATAGAAGGTTCATTTAGTTTATTTGACACCACAGATTGGAAACATTACCAGCAAGACTGACGCTTAAAGGTAAAATGAAGAGGGGACACATTAATTTTGAAAGCAAACTAATCAGTAGGTACATGTCACTTGAAGTTAAGATGATTGACTTTACGTTTAACAAAAAACGACATGCATCTTTTCAATATAGTCATGTTTTCTCAAAGATTGGGTTCATCCTTGATTCAGCATAGCAAAAATGTTTGGATATTACATTATGTATATAGTTGGGTTTGAAGTTTGTATAACCGTTATTACTTCTAAATGTCCGGATTAATTTTCAGAAAGAAAACAAAAAAACTTCCTTTGGCAAAATTAAAAAGGGGTATTTAATGTCAAAAATAAATCAGAGGGGAAATTTTCTATCAGCTTTATGTATGCCTGAGTATAAAATAAGTAGGAGAAAAAGTCATACACGACTGTTCAGCTAAAACAATAACCAAATATATAAATATATATCTGTCATATATGCACACGAGATTGAGAGAATCGTTGTTTGTTGCATACACAGAGAAAGAAAACACTCGGTAGCTTGTTATATGCACTCGGGGATAGGAGAATACTTGTTCGCTGCAAAATCAGAGAAAGTGAAAATATAATGCTGCTTCATGTACTCAAAGATTGTGTAGCTATACACATATGGGGTTAATGTGTTTGCGGCATAAACTTTTTTTTTTAAATTAAAACACTTCTTAATTTAAAAAATGTTTGTTTTAAAAGTCCGTCAATGTTTGAAAGTAAGGTGGGTAATTACTGATAACAAGTGAAAGGCTTGGCTAAGACACACTTTCTTTTACAATAAGGCTGGAAAAAAATATCGAAAAATGTTATAATGATATGTTTGCCGTTCGTTTAAAATGTATCAGATGCATGGCCAGTTTTCAACAACTGTTCCAACCTAAGAAGCCCGCTGTATTCAATTGCTATATTTGCTATAGTAAACAATTTGTGGAAACATCTCTAAGTTACTGCCTTTTGAGATTGCATGAGAAGAGATTAAACAAATTATAATCATGAATCTGAATCGTGACATTATATCAGCAACATATATGACGTCAAAAGGTTTTGGAATTTGACACAGATCTAAGAATTGTATTTCATTTTTACTTTCAAATATGCGTAATGTAATAAAAACAACACAATCAAACTTTTCCCTTGTATAGTCATGGACCATTTTATATAAATTTTGCTTGGAAACAATTAAAACCACGAAAAAGAATGTTTCTGTTCAATATGTGTTCAATCTAACACAGCCCATTGCATTTTTATATGTCAACTGGAATTTAATCAAAAATAAAATTGCATGAATTATTTGTTTATACAAAAAAAAAAAGCACCGTTCAAATCGTTTTATGTCAAAGTGCAATTTTCCTGAATTGCAACGACACATTATCCCACGCAAGGATTCAAATTTGTCAGGTGTTTTTTTTATAAAATTGAAATACTCATAAACAACAAAACCCTGTCAACACTTCCACGTTACATTCGATTGCGGCTTCAAAATATTAAAACGTAAAAGAAATGCAACACTTGCAGGTGTGGTAAATCATTTATATTTCATAATATCATAAATCGTTCCAGGGGCAATATAACCACTTCTATAGTGTAATCATTACTTCATCACTGGTTGGTGTTGAACATAGGGAAACGATCAAGACCTCATTGCACTATTTTGAACAAACAAATCGCATTGTACGAAAATATATTTCAAGGCGAAAAAGATCACTATGTTGAAATTAACCGATCGAAATTGGATGTTCTCCGGAAGAAATTGTCCCCTAATGATAGACAGCGTCAAGATCAAACACTTTGATGACTTGTCATGTGTTGCCAGGGTGAATCGGAGAAAATGTCAAAGCCCTCTTTGGGCTAATAAACGTTCTCAATCACCCAGAAAGTGTTCTTAGGTACAGACATGATAGCAATAATCGGGTCATTACTTTAACCGCCCTATGAGGGCAGTATACACTAGGCACGTCTCTGATAGAAACACTTATCAGTAGTAAAGTAACCAGGAATATAGTGTGAAGTAGGGTCTACTAACCTTATACGCATGTTAAAGAATAAATATACGTCAGCGTTTTGTGCTATATCATATATGTTACATTTTTGAACCGTCATTAAAAGTGGCCCTCCCATGTATTTGTTTTTAGATCTGTACACTTGTGCAGTAAACCCAGCATGTTTTGAACAAAGGTAATTTAATTTGAATTATCCATAACGGATTTTGTTTTGTTATCTAATCTGAATCGCATTTAAAATCAAATTACAACAATAGAACTATCGACAAATCCTTTATACAAATATTTAAAACATATGAATATATTGATTATATGTGATGTCAAGACCAGAAAGGGTTCAAATAACGTGATATTGTTTTATTTATTTTTTCCATTAAATCGAAATTCACGAAATGCCTCTGAAATCAAAACTAATGTAGAGGCTAAACAGTTTCTATTCATCGTCGCAGAGGATAGTACATTTTGCGTTTTTATTTTATTCTATTAGAATCCAAAAGGCACAGAGGGTGTGTATCGCGCATTGTTTATAAAGAAAAGATTTGGAAAATAATGTCATTATATATCATACTGCAACTTTTTCAAAATAGTCTCTCACCTAAATCCGTCAACATTTGATCCTTTCCTTTTGTCCCAAGAATTGAAATGGAAGTTAACATTTACAAAAAATTAACCTGTTTTGCGCTGCCCCTCTGACCCAAAGATAAGCAATCCATTTTCTTTTAAAAAATGAGTCCCCTTTGCCAAAATCTGTTTAAAATCCCTCTTATTACACGTAAGGAGTATGGCTTTAAACATTTATTACTATAGTTCCCATATTGGGCCTATCTCCTCTGTCTCCTGGGTGCCACATGCTCTGTTTATATATAATTGTATCCCCCTTGTCCATAGATGTTGTACACAAAGTTTTATTCAATCACTCCTATGAAACTAAACAAAAAGGGTTTTAAGGAGGGCCCAGAAGGGCCTCACCCTCCGTTTATATAAAAGTAAGTCTGTCATCTTTACCAAAGGATTCTCCCGACCAAATTTAGTTAAAATCCCTCGAATGGTACAGATGAAAAAGGATTTTAAGTATTTACTTCAATTTCGACGTCCCTCATCCCCCAGGGAGCCACATCCTCTGTTTATCAAACAAATAGTCATCTTTGCCCAAGGATAGTTTAGGCTAAATTTAGTCAATATCCACTAAGCCGTTGAGGTCCAATAGCGTTTTAAAGGCAATTTTGACGGACGGACAGACGATTGCACTATTCATCAAAATACGAAATAAAAAAACAATTGAGAAGCTGGGTTCCAAGGAATGGTAAATTAATTCCTCCAATATATGGCGTAGCTGAGTTTGCCTTGGTATGAACTACCTGTCAGGTACAGTTTGAGGTCGATATATATATTTATTATAGGACTGTATGATTAAATATCAGTATTGATGAATATCTTATATAACGATAATCATATTAATTGCAAAGGTCTGCCACAGATTTCATGGAAATGGTAATGCACTTTAGCTAAATTGAATATTAATGTTTTGCTTATCTGGGAAATCGTTGCACATCTTAACTGGTAAAACTATGACAGAACCAATGAATTATATAATATTTAAAACCAACACATCGAATCAGTTTACATGTGTATCAAGTCTGTAGGGGAGGCTTACATATCGTCTGACACATGTGATCTATGATTAATTCTCATTTTAAGGATTGATTGCGGAATAAAAATCAGGGAAACTACTGAATTTAAGGTATCGTGCGGCTTGAACAGGAAACTGTACAATGGCTAATGGTTACAACCTGTAATAAATATGTTCGATGGGGCAAACAAAATACATGTACCAACCCATATTTCAAACCATGTTGGGTTTCCCTCAATATTCCGGTTTCCTCCTACATAAAACCCCTGCATGTTTCCCATTCGGGCCAACCAAAGGGAATAATTCAAGTTAATGAACTTGTTTTATATGTTTTATAATTGTTTCAACATAAACAAAAATAAAGTTTGATAAATTGATGAAGTGAAGTGATTAGTGTAATGACCATGATTAAATTAGAATACAATGAACTAAACTGAATATACTGTTACTGGTAAACCGAAGTTTTTTTTTTATTACAATTCATACATTTGACTAATATTTACCCGTTATAATATTTTCCATTAAATGAATTGTCCGTCCGTGATATTGGTTCTTTTGCTTTTAAGTTGTACATAATCTATATTCTGGACCGACTGATATCCGGCCACTCCCGCCATATTCGCCGGAGATGAGCCATATACGTCAGGCACGTGCTATATCTACCATTTACACCAGACTCACTTTACTTTAGGTTCAATAAGAAGTCGCACCTCATAACCATAAATTTATGTTATTGCTAGTTTTCTTAATTGTGTGTTAAAATTCACAATGTGTGGTTTGTCATATGCAAAAAGTATGAGTAGATATCGTTACTGTGGTAGTATGCGTTTAAACGCAAGTCACCTGAAATGTCAATAAATTCAACAAAGTATTACTAGTTCCCAAAACCGTGTTATGGAGAGATCGGTCCCACCACGCGTACTCGTGTTCGCGAAACTACGATACATTTTCCGATAAGCATGTGAACCGATTCACATGTCCGCACTATATGCTTCATTCTTCAGGCATCGTTTAAAAATCAACTTGGTATTTAAGTTCGTCTCTGATTACGTAGAAATGCTTTGATGAATACGATATACTCAAAATGGTAATGCAGTTCTTGTTGCTGAAAATTCCCGAAACTCTTTGGCAAGAGCGCTGAATGTCTATAAAACCGTAATATCCTGTCCATACAGCCGTCATAGACCGTGGAGTTGCAGTGCATGCGTAACCGGTTGAGAACTTCACCGGAAATATATTTCAGATGCCAGGGACATGCAGTCTTAGAAAAAGGAAATTTAGTGTGCCGAAGTGTCGTTCAGCATTTAGCCGCGTCGAGTTGTAGTGGGAACTCTTTTTAAAGTGACGACTGACCTCAATGGTTTAAACGACATGGCCCAATCAGGTTCACTATCCTAAGATGGCGTCGTATATTCTTCTGTAACGAGTCAGGATTCATGCCTTACCGATCATATTGACTTCAATGTGAACGTTTTATCGATAACTGTATGGTGTAGCGTGACAGTTTTTTGTGGACATAGCGTTATAGCGTATGGTAATATAGCAACATGGTCGCGTTTGGACAACTAAACGTTTATCGACACTGGTCATCAAATCGTTGCCATGTGGTTTGTCCTTAAATACGACGTAATTTTTCAACAAGACCATTTTCACGAATATTTGAAATACGGTTTTTTTCATCGTGCTTATGTGTTTAACGAATTTTTTTTTCTCAATGATTTAGATTTTTACAAGTAATTGATAGACGGACTGCCACACTAACCAAGGTAAAGTGAGCAAATCAAGAACAACTCTTCTCTTTATCAGATTTCACATATCTCAGATTTCGAGATTGTACTTAAGTAGTCCTGCAATACACCTGATTATCTACATTTGCTCTGCATCCTCTTATTGTAATGCATTGCAAAGGCAAACGTTGTAACATTTGTAATTGAAACGTCATCAATCTGTATTGTGACGTCATCAATTTTATTGTTGTCAACACTTCATATGCTGTCCAAAAACTGTTCGAAATAAATAAATGAAGCATAACTACTCTATCAAAATGTGATTATAAATAATGAATATTTCAGCAAATACTCTATTGCTGACCGGGCTTAATTAAGTTTGTCATCAATAGCAATGGGTGTTATAGGACTATGACAACAATTGCTAAAATATTCATTGCTTACTCCGCGTACTCCTCTCCTGCAATTTTAGTTGATAACTCATGTGTGATTTGCTTAGTCAAATATGCCTCTAATTGGAAAATTTATTAAATAACACTTCTCTAATGGGATAAAATACACATTGCTTTTGATGGAGAATTACTCTTGGTAATTCTTTTTGATAACATACATTTAAAATCCCACTTACTCGAGACAAAAATAAAATGGGCGAAGAACTTTCAAGGCAGTGTACTCTTAGAATTGATATTCTGCCATCTTTTTAACTTCCTCTGCAAAGATCACCATCAAATCGTAAAATACCGTAGATATATATGTGAACTCTATTTTTTCACGTAACCTATCATTTAAAGAATGCTTTTTTCAAGAAGCCTCAGAGAGCACGACATGTATATATGATTGACAGCTCGCTGATCGTGGCAACGTAACAGTATGCTCAATATCTGTCATTCAAAACAGAACTTGTCGGTCTGTAATTGGAAATGTTCACGCTTATCGAATCATTTTTTCTTCCCATGATATATATGGGAGAAAAGAGGTAATGTTGAACCTTATTTGTCACCAATCTAAATATAGACAGACGAATTTTTGTTTCATTAAATGAACTATGAAACTGACTTTTCACAAAAATGATACTTAGACCGTGTTTGAGCTCAATTCGTAAATCCAAAAAAGTCATCAAACTCTCTCAAAATGATACAGTATTAAACCAACAAAGCGTCAGCACTCTAAAGGTCGAAAGGGACAAGCTGCAATTCATATATTGCAACAGGATAATTGCGCGAAACGATGAATACGCACATTCAATATGATTAATTACATTTCTTATAAAGTAACATTAAAGTCTAGGTCCAAATTTAGAATTGTAATATCCTTGCTATCTTTCAGATTTCAATGCAGGTTACTCACAACTCTTAACAATGACGTTCCAATCACATTGTTTTATTACATTCGGATCTCTCGTTGATCATCATACACATAACAATAAAGGGTTATACTGAACTCAACTCCGCGGTACACGGGCAGTAATACCCTGAGAGTCCAATTTTCTACAAGGATAACAATATTTTCCGCAATATGTATTTCATGCATTTCTACATTTTCTTTTTCTTTTCTATAATCAGCTGTAACGCTATTGAAATTAAAGATTACATAATGAAGGATATTTTTACCTGACAATTTTCAGCACTTTCGTTACGCGATTTTTAAGATATGACGTGTTCTTCATAGTGTTTTGTTGTGACATTTTGTTCATGTTCTTGACTTTACCAAGTTTTACCAACAGCAACATATAATTTATTTGTTCTGTTGTGTAAACCACTAGCAAGAAATGTTTGAAAATATCGATATTAATATATTCAGTATAAGTTATATATTTATATAAATATTAAGTAGCATTTTACCTTTGATGTAGCACTAAAATGTATCAACTGAATAACCTAGCAAGCTGATCTTTAACACGTAATCGGGAAAGTCACACCATACGAAATCAAATGTGTACAGTATTGCAAACTGTACGCTTTCATTTAAATAAAATGAATCTTCAACCGAACTGATCTGGTGCCAAATTAGCCAGTCAGTATCTTAAAAAAATTGTATTGCATTTGTAACAAAGTCGTTGATCTGGACAACGGGAATGAGCGTTTGACATGCTTTTTGATTATATTTTTATAAACGTCTGATAAGTGTGATTTAAAATCAACAAGTGCTCTCTTTTTTAAAATGTATAAATCAATGGTTGGTATGCACTTCTCCTTTTGTTTCAATAGTAGCTTAGACTTATTTGGTTTTAGAATTGTTTTTCTCATAGCCTCACCGAGCAGTCATAGATGGACAAAACAGCTGTATGATGAGTTGTAATTACTTTTTGGCAAACTGTATCTATTATCAAATGTTTAAGTGCAATCACATATGTGTGTGGTATGTTCATCTATCTCAATATACGGACTCATATTGTTAGTTTTGTACAAGTATTAGTTAGCTCAAAATTTTGCAATTCTTATCAGCAGATGACATATTAGCCCAGGACGGTTTATTAAATACATTGATCAAGAAGTAACAATCGGGAAATTGTGTCTTCTGATTGGAATTCCGTATAAACATGTCATCAGTGCAAGTGATCTTAAAATAGAATACAGAAAGTGACGAGAGGGTTTGGATTTATTTGAGGTAACGACCTATCAAACACCTTAGATAATTAAAGGACGTGTCATCGCTTGTGTTTAATCGCAGATCTGATGCTGACTTTAGAGTGCTATTTAACTGGAATCATGCAGAAGGTATTTAATCAAGTAAAATATAGTTTTGACCAAAGTGTTAACCGGTTGTGGCGAGTACATTTAATGCTGATTGTTTAGCAGAGAACAACAACTACCATTTTTAAGGAATTATGAAAGTACTAGTCTATGGACGGAGTCCATGACCTTTTTACCTCTCTGGGCAAATGTTCAAATTAAGTTCAACGATGAGATAGTGCAGAGCACGGCGCTAGGTAACCAAAATGCTGTTAGGAATTAGAGAAAAATATGAAGATTACAAATGTAGCAATGTGCGCAGCAGAATTATTTTTGTCGAATTTGTTTCTCCTAGAAGAGGGCTTAAACAATTCCCCATTATATAGGATGCGAGTCCCTGTGTTTGTTGCCTTTTTCAACATGCAGTTGGTCACGACATTTTTTTAATACCTGACCAGTAGGAATGTCCACGGGATGTTACACAAAGGTCATAGAATCAGTGAATCACTGTCTGCTCACTCATTGGTTCATGATATCAACAATTTAACCAATAAGAAAGCAGATAAACGTGATATAAACTATGTAGATTATCAGAGATCGTCTTTAAGATCAAAGCTGATACATCTTACTGTTATGTTGCTGATCAAATACTTGTATCTCTATTCAAAGCATTTCTGCTAGCACGGGTATGCACGAGTCCATTACATGTTCAGGAATAATCAAGCCCTATCATAATTAAGGCATGCGACCATGTACTGTGCGTACCTTGATTCGATTCTGTCAGGAGGTTAAAGAAATTGTAAAGATGATGTAATTTCTGGTATTCAGACTGCAAGCAAAAACAAATTCCTGAGATTCGAGTACTTATGTACAGCAGCAACCAAAGGCCAACCATTTTCATTTAGACATTACCTTCCACATCCATGGCTTCGGGAGTTCCATCCAACACTGAGGCATGTGTCCATCCACGAGTTGAAGGTTGTAAGACAAAAGCATTGGGATGGAGAAAATGACGGCACAAGACCAATTCAAACCGATCAGTATGCGGCACCGCCTGGCTGTTAAATAGTAAAATAGTACATGCAATAATATAATTATTAATACTGAAAAAATTAACAACAAGGCTTATTCTGTTTGCATTAGTAAACTATTGACAAACATTCCGAGGATATTATTTATAATCACATTGATTGGGATTGTTAAAAATGCTCGGTGAGACTTTGAGAATAACTCGTTTCAATGACTATTACCACCACAGAACCGGCACAAGCAAGAGTACTCTTCCAAAAAAAAACATCTTTCGAAACTTAAAAGTTCAGGACAATATTAATTGATAGTACTTACTATCTCTACTGTTGATAAAGTCGGCCTAACAAACACATTGAAGACATTATGCCACTGCTTCCTATCCCCGATAGTACAATGTTGGGTTGAAGTTGTATAACGTAGTGCTGCAGATATTGAAAACAATGCGTGTTGCACGCACTGGCTCCTCAAATTGGCAAAGTTATTCCACAGTTAAACAAACCAGTCAAACTGCACTGAATATGCCATGGGAATACTAGAACAACCATATTATTATGCTTTCATAACTTCGTATAATACAAAAACTGTCACATCTGCCAGATATATGAGGTGTCATAAGAAATATCATTGTTCCTTTTCATTAAGACTTTAAGGACTGTCTGGCTCAATTAAGTTTCAAGATTTTTATATTAGTCTTAAACACCTTACGCAAGATGCACAACTCATACAAACACACTTTGATACATTTATATTGAACAGAAGTTAAGTACGAGAGCGTCCGCAATGGCTTATATTGGAACTGTTACTTAGGTGTTGAATTTTACAAGGTAAGCTGAAATAGGCAACTTTTCGAGAATATCTGAGTTGTGGGTAGCTGAAATAGGTATCTATTCGAGAATGTTTTCAGTTGTAAATATATTCAAACATTTTCAAAAAATGCCAATTTAATCATACGTTGTGTAAGAAATCACATTGAAATGTAAAAAAAAAATCTTTCAAATGATATCAGGATATTCGAACAACACAAGTTTTGAACAAATCATGAGCCTAGTAAAGGAAATAATATCATAGCGTTTATCCATTATCCATGTCAAAGCCTAACGAGCTTCGCACCTAATAAAACCTAAAGCAGTACAAACTGTCAATTAGTATATCAAGGGAGGATCTTTTATTTTTGAAGAAGTCAACTTAGTGCATTTGGAAGCGTGCAATCATGAACATTCGTCACCTAAATACGTTTCTGCCTTGACGCAATATTGTTTGCATTAAAACGTAGTTGGTGCATTTCGGGAATTGAAATATTTGAATTGAACGCAAGAATTCAATCTTAGGGATCTAAATGTGCTACTGATGGTGCTGATAAACTCATTCAAAACCCCATTTGTTTTGTTTAGATTTACGTTTTTAGTTGTCAGTATCATGAATAATCTAAAACAAAATGTGTAAACCTTGCAACAAGACACGAAGACTCCGAATAGATTAATGCCAAAGCTCTTTAATAGACATATGGGAAATACGAACTACATTTCATTTCCACTTTTTTTAAAAATTCTATTGTCATCATTCAGATTTATATTTTCTGTGGAATATATAAATATGTGATTGGAAAATTACACAATGGGATATTGTATCATACGATTTGCTAATTATCATTTGCATTGGTAAACGTCCAGGTAATTGTTGATTCCATAGTTTCCCATTGCATTTTTATAAAACGTTGTTTGGTTCAAGACTAAATACGACATAGAAGTCCTTGGTCACCGAGACAAAGAGGAGCACAGCATTCATCTGCCCAAAATAATTCAAATATTTGTGATTCACGGCGGTGCCGTTTACGATCGAATTAAGAATCGCCTCCATTAGTTGAGAAAACCCCTATGTAATATAACGCGCTAGGTGGCGCCACTGGTCAGGACACCTTATTACAATCACCATTGCATTGGCTTACACAAAATATATTTTATTTTAAAGGAAAAGCGAGGCGGATTTGAGTTTAAAAATACCTGCTATAAGAACTAATGTACCGATTGTGAGTTACCTCCCGATCAACAAGGTTTTTACAAAGGAAATGCTTTAAGCATAGATCACTGGTAGGACGTTTTTCAGCCTTTATCCACGTAATCAAAACTCGGCCGTTTACTTTTTTCTACAGAACTGTTTTGGTTTCTTCATTCTCTTTTACAACAACTGTTGCGCTGTCCTGTATTGTCCTTTTCATCGCTCCAAATCTACAGTGTATGCTGATATCGAGGGATTTAACGATTGTACGATAACAAGATTATATCAATGAGGCACGTTTAGTTTGGTTTTATTTTGTTTAACGCACTATTAACAGCTAAAACCATGCATCCATGTGTGTTGTGTAGGCGTGCATGTGTGAATGTGTGCTTGAGATAGGGTATGTTGGTGTACTTGCTTCCTTATGATAGCGCGGATCTGATGCCGACATTATTGTGCTATCTTACTGAAATACCAAGCCGAAGGCACCCAGCACAGCCTTCCCGCCCGGTAACACTATATTGAAAACGGGTGAACCAATTGTTGTCATTACTCTTAATGCTAAACGTGAAGCCGGGAATAACAACTACCATTTTAAGGACTTTGGTATGTCCCGGCCCAGGACAAAATCCATTGCCTTACTCACCTTGGCGAACATTGAACATTAAAGCCAAACGTAAGGTGTCGTCAAGCAATACAATAGGAAATAAAAAGGTTTTAGAATTAGAGAGAAATTTCAATGAGGCATTTTTATAATGATATTACAACATGACACATATTATAATTATAGGATAATGACAATACAAAAATTTAATGATAACGTGACAATGGCATCAGGGGCGGATTCATGATATAACGAAAGAGTCAAAGAGCGAAGCCCCGATGTGTGTTATTGGGGGCGAAGCGTCGAAAGAAGTCGCAGAAATACAGGTAAATAAACATATAAAATAATGCATTTTTTATATCACTTTTCTGTAATCTTTTTTTGAATAAATGAAAAAGTTTTTCCGACACACTATCAGGTTGATTAATCTTTTCTTTCTTCTGTCCTTTTTAATATTTTGTTAAAACATAAAGCCGAAAAACCAACAAACAAAAGTGGACTGAGAGTAATAATGTAACGGGACCAGGGGCTGGACCAGGATTCCAACAAAGGACCACCAACCATCCTACCGGTCAACGCTAATAATCTGGATCACTCCCCTATCCAACACAAACTTGAAAGGACGCTACGATATGTGAAAAGAACCACTGACGAATGTCCTATTGTTATGTCTGCAGTGGCACAGTGCTCTTTTGGAACGTCATCACAACTTATGCTACGTTTACATTATGTTCCCGGCAGCCACGACAGTCCCGTTTGCCCGAAACGTAGTGCAAACCGTCACACACCGGGACGCGCCGGATTGACCGCGACGCAACAGCTACAATACACCCTAGCTTGCCGTGAGAACCGTGACAAAACGTGGCAAAACGAGACAAAACGCGCAGCAACCGTGAACCAACCGTTACAGAACGGACACTAAACGCGATAGAACTTGACAAAACTTAAAAGGACCGTGAGATACCGGGAAATACACATGCTTCCCGTCCCATTACGGACCGTTTCCAAGTTATATTACGGCCTTTTACGTACTGTCTCGTTTTGTTGCGTTCACCCGGTTTTACAACGGCCTACTAGGTTTCTCCTCCGCATCCTGACTGCCGAGGCAAAAATGTTTTTGACAGTTAAAAAATCTGGCCCGGCATCCACGACAATCACAACCTGTCACGTTGGCCCATCCCGTCCCCCCGCGTTATCTCACGTCTAGCCCGTTTTGTCCACGTTGCCCTGAAACGTGATTGACGTGGCCACCGGGAACATAATGTAAACGAAGCATAAGTAGGAACATAATCATTGACTTACTTACTTTTGCCTCTCATGCTCATAGGTCTCGCTATAGCGTCCAGTCGGTCAATACTGAGGGCGACCAGCGCGTATGTCGAGCCGTAAGTACCGACTGCCTGGATAAACTTGATAAGCTTACATCCAATATTACCAGCGTACCACTGGACAGTCGATTTCCAAATGATATCAGTCAGCACAAAGAAAAAGGCCACCAATAGATCTGAAACAAAATTGGAAGAAAGCTTTTTTCGTAAATAATGCAGGAAGCATTACTCGTATAGTTGATTAAGGCTTTAAGTCTTCGTTACAGGTAACGTCCTACAAAGGCGGTGACCACGGATGAAGTTTACTGATCATGTTTCACTGAAAACCTTCGAACACTCACATAACCTTGCGATATTGCAATGACACTCCACCACGTCGCGACCCTCTGACCGCGGGCTTACCGAAGTTGCCGTGGCAGAAACTGCCGAAAAAACAGTAGCAGGGATAAATGTAATGGAGATTCTAAAGATTGCAATAGGTGCAAGGAAACGGAAATGTAAAAATTTGAAACAATGTATCATGAGATTCGTCAAAATAATGTTTGTGAAGAAAAACAATGCAGTGCTGAACTAATCAATAAAGGAAAACCTCAATTGAACGTGAACGATTTTCAATCTATTAAATGATAGAAGGTATTTTATATAGAATTATTGTTATATTTAGATATTTGGTATTGACTGCATTGGAAAAATAAATGTTAAAAAAAGCACTTAGTAATGTGAAGCTTTATACTGTTAATTCAAAATAAACTAAAGAATATCTTTTATCACAATTTGTACACGATGGAGACGGAATGGTGTCATATTTGGGTTAATTTTATGTATGGCCTACCGAAAACTAATTATAGCCTCACCACGCCCAACGCATTACGTGAAATAGAGAAATACGCCAATGCAAACTGTGACCTAGGCTACTACGGTTTGGCAGTTCACAAAAATCAAGTTTGATTACATAAGATAGTTCGTAGGCATCAGACTAACATCGGGACACTTTATATCTTGCGTATTTGAGCCACTCGCAGTCTACCTAAGGTCATATTTAAATGAACTTAATTACTTTTGCTGAGGGACAAGCTCACTGTAACTTCCAAAATTGTGGCAACAACCAGATTAAAAGTCCTATGTAAAAGGATAATTACGAGACGGCAAGAATCAATTAAAGAACATGACAATCCTTGCCGAGGAGATAATTGTTATAAACTGTTACCTAATAGGTCCCAAGCGACAACCTGGCGACACGCGATATGTTACCCCGTCGCAAAAACGTTGTTTGTTTCACCATGATACAGGTTTAATTTTGTAATTTGTGGTTTCTTGAAATACACTGAGGGATTGGGACAATCATAGTTATGTGGGTAGAACATACAGATATACGGATAGGTGTTTACCTACTAAGAAATGTATTTTTTCTAAAACATTTCCACACTATCAAACGGCGATGAATGGTGTTTTAGAAATATATTGTCTAAACAGTTGATAAAAGGTATTTGAGACAATATAATTAATTCATTGATACCACCGAACACAATACCTTTAACCATTTCAATCGCTATATGAATGCCAAACGTTTGCTGTCTCTTCTTCGCAAAAGCGTTTGTACTAAAAACCTTGTAAGATCAATCAATGACGAGTTTTTAGACAATTGCAAAAAAACTTAATGCAGTGTAGATCGACTTAAAAGTGATAGTTATGTTTAACACCGTTTGAATACAGCTTCTGAATAACCAAAAACAAAGAAAAAATGACACGTTACATCGTCAAAGGAACACGAAGTCATCAGTTGAATATCTCATGGAAGTGGTTTTTGCTTTATACATAAACGATTTACTAGATTTTATATTATTTAGACATTGATGTATGCTGATGACATAAAGCTACAGTTATTGAAGTCATTACACAAATTAAACGGTACGTTTTGATACAGTAGTTGGAAAATAGTTGTCATGTTCCCATTCTAAAACGTGTAAAGTTATGACAATGTCTACAAAGCACAGAGGGAGATATCGAAACTTTCATTTAATGGACATATAGGTAGAAAGAAAATTTATTGAACGTGGAAACATCACATCAGAGAGAGGGACTCGGGTGTTGCGTTTAGTTTGGCAACGCGTAACCAAAAATCAACAAGTATAGGTTACATTATCTAAGTGGCATTATATGGTCTTTTGTACAGTTGGACGAACATTATGGTCACAAATCGTTAAGACTAGAATGTGCGGCAAGTGTATGGCTGGCGTCCTCTACAATCATAGACATCAAAGAGTAGAGATAGTTCTGCCGTCCCCGGATTTAAACAATTCATCTAGAGGAAAAGATTTTCACGACTGAATCTTCCGAATTTCGCATAAAGGTACATTAACATTATATAACTTTAGTAATGGGATATATTTTAGAATTAGCCTCCTCCGAGTAAACACGTGGTCTTAGTTAACAAAACACAAATAGCATTGTCATTTAAATATTTGAAACCATAGCTTTCCTCAAAGAATATTGTATGTCTTAAAAAGTGAGCCGCAACATGTTTTATTTTTTCATTTCAGACAGGACATTATTTCGGGAAAACGTTTAAGAATTCTGGAAAAAAAAGCTGCTTACATGTCTTATAGATATAATATAATATAATATAGTCATCACACTGTAGGAATATAACAAAAAACTGAAAAGTTCCTTATAAATGATGAAACATGAATATGACTGAAAAGCTGTCTCAAGTATTAGATATTGGCGTTTGTTGCTCGACCTTTTTTTTGGTTTACGTACATACGTTAAACCTGTTTTGTTTTCATCGACAGACAGAAAGTACCAGTGTCTACAGTTCGCCAGCTGGGCTGATTCAAAGCAAAAAGCTTAACGATATATTGCACTTTTTGCATCTTCCATTTTATCATTGTTTATCTTAAGCATCAATGATTTTATTATAATATCGCTTGTCAATAAACACAAAACTTTAAAAGATTATGATATATAAATAGACTACGACGTCAACGGTTGCTACGTGTGTATGTATCAATTGTTTGCTGGTCAATGATAAACGTGTTATTTCGCGAAAAAATACGGAAATAAATCAAAATGATATCCAATTATTTTTGTATTGTAGCCACACATGCACACATCACCTTCTAGAAATAATTCAACAGGGGCAAGCGAATTGTTTCTTTCTGCCAATCGGAGTGAGTTGACGGAGTGCCAATTAAAGCTGCAACTCAATTAATACTACATTGTACCTACAACTTGTTTTATTGTTTGCAATGTTTCACAGAAATGATATGTCAGATAGAATACGACACCACTTTAACGATATTTCCACATGGTGCATTTAAAGCAAGTATCTATCCCCTTGATAAATCCTAACTGCAGAGAATTTCTACTGCAGCGTATCAAGCTTGAAAGGACCATTTTAGTTTTTTATTGAATTGATTGACAGAGATTGTCTTTCCCACCCTTTATATTATCAAACTTAACATGGTTTACGATTATTCAAGCCTGCATGTGATAGCGATTTTTGAACTATTGCAACGTTTTAGACGTTTCCACACAGTCACGTCTAATTTATGATCCGCTGTAAACATTTAATCGCCCATTTTCAATTGTTTATGGGGAGCTATTAAAAGTTGGGTGAGGAACTTTGGATGATTTATGTGCATTTCAGACGATCCAGGATATCGTGATTTATTAATCCGAGAGAAATGAAATGCGACAGATCACATTGATTTATTATCCGTTAGATTTTGACACTCAACCCTTTTCAAGGGATCATGCTCTCATGCCCTCGAGAAAAGGTTCATTACAATTTAAACCCAGTAGTATATTTAAACCAGACAAGAACTTATAGTCTCACAACGAATCACTGGGGTTTATATCAGCCATAACGATCTAAAGATGCCAACCTATTGAACCGAATATTCCACTGGTACAATGTAAGTGTTTGCCTGTATTAAAAGTTAGATACACTGTACAGATTGACGTGGTTCGTCTTTTTTTAATTGACATCAAATGGGTATGTCAACATTTTGATTTATAACCTGTGTTTATTTAAGCATTTTTTTTAAGTATTTTATATCAAAGAACCTTTTATTTTTTAAAAAACACCAAGTGTCAAATAATCAGTAGATATAACCAGCGGGATTTTATCATTTAACTACCGCTTAGAACGAACTGCGCAGAGAAGTTTCTATTTTTCACCAAATGGCAAGATTGTTGACGTAAAACACAAGCTGGGAGTAAGTTAAAGATCCCTCTCCCACTACAGGCAAACCACTAGAAAATTCCATTGTAGCATATTATACTTAAGGATCATCATACTATTACCAAAACATGTGTCGCTTTGGCTATATCTGTGAACTATCTCTGATCAGGAAGGTAAGTTGGTTAGAGTAACCGTATTTTGATCAGAGGTCCAGAGTTCGATTCCGAGTCTGTCACCATTTTTTTCATATCATTAATTATTTGGTATGGTTTGGTTAAGTATTGTTTAACGTCCTATCAACAGCTATGGTCATTTAAGGACGGCCTCTAATGTGTGCAAGATGCATGCGTGTAATGTATGTGTGTGTGGTTTGGGAGGCTGCGATATGTTCGTGTTTGTCTCCTTGTGATAGCGCAGAACTGATGCCTACTTGATAGTGCTACCTCACTGAATCATACTGCCGAATACACACAGCAGGACACCCCACCTGGTCACTTTATACTGACAACGGGCGAAACGTCGTCCCACTTCTAAATTGCTGAGCGTTAAGCAGGAGTAGAAACTACCATTTTACAGACTCTGGTATGTAAACGCCAAAAGTGAGGCATTGTCAAGGGAGACATTAGTAAGAAGAAAGTTGTTTAGAAATAAGAGAAAATATAAGATCCTAAATTTAGTCGCCTCTTACGATCATGCAATGGGGGCAGCATGTAGAATTCTTACGCCTTACCTGCAGGGACGCATTAATTATTTCTTTTCGACTTTAATCCTTATTATTTTCGCAAAAGTTCTGTAAGACATTGGTTTCTGTAAGATAAGGATTTGTATAAGCCTTCTTATGCCAATTGAAGCAGTGTCCTATGCCTATTTTCATTTGCGCCGTGTTTAGAATATCCCTAATCTGAACAAGTCATAAACATACCCTGTCACAATATAGATGGATGTACGCCCTTTATGACCTTAGCTGATAATAGGACGGTCAACAATATA